CCTATACAGCTTGGAGTAAGACAACATGCATGAAGAGGATGATGTGGACAAAATACTCATTTGCCTAATAATTCTGCACTCCCTGTATATGCTGGTGACTGCTGTCCAACACCTTTTACCTTTTGCAATAACACTTTTCATTTGAACTGTAATGCTTCCTCTGCTGTTGCCTCCACATGGCCGCTGTGCTATGATGCACATGAGTCACTTTCACTCCAGCATCAACCTGTTGGATCAAGGTCCTCAAGGGATTAGGTAGAACTTCAGTCTCTGCCGTCCCCTCTGTTCAGCAGGAAGTAATGAGGTCAGAGCTTTTAACGTCTACTTTGCACGCTCTCTATTTACATTTTAATAAAGCCGTTTCACATGAGTTGGCTGACTGAAATGCAGTTGAGAGCAAGAGGCTGTTTGATGGTGCATTTAGGTGCTCATGAGGGGAATAGGAAGATGTGAAAACCCTTCTCAAACTAGTTGAATCATTAAATTATAACTGCATGGATGTGCATTAATGTGGATCGCCAGGACTGACTTGGAAGCTCAGTTTTTTTCTGTCTATGCGGGTTCGGTGCCCGTTATTGAAGATAGCTGTTGCGTTTTGCCCTCTTGTGTCCCAAGCTACAAGCTAATAGGAAATGCGACCAAATGTTAAATAAAAAAAGGGCAAAGAGCTCTTTATTAATATTTGCCTTCACACACACTGTATTAAATGGGAGCATTGGAGCAAATAGTGTTCCTTCAAAGTGTTCATTGTTGAAGAAATTCTAAAGGCAAGCCCTTATCCCTAACCTTAACTACATATAAACAAATCAGACTTCAACTGTGGATCTTATTTAGTGTACATACCCACAGTTGTGTGTATTTGTGCTTTGTCCACAGGAAAATGTTTCTCTGGCAGACATCCTTTCTTTGCGGGACAGTTGTCTGTCTGAGGAGGAGGTGTGGGCAGTGTGTGCAGAGTGTGTTCTGGCCCTGCAGAGCATCAGACCCTCCCACCTCTTCCACACACTGTGCATAACACCAGACACTTTGGCCTTCAACGCCCATGGGAATGTTTGCTTCATGGAGCAGCTCAGTGGTGAGTCTATAGCTCAGGCTTGTGTCCTGTGTTCCTTTTTTAGACATTAACCACCTTTGTATATGCTAATTACAGGCAGTTGTTATTGTTTCTGACTATTTTCAGGGCATTTTTCATATATATAGAATTTTACCTGTCACTTGTTAGTGAAGCTGAGTGCTGAAGCTCACACATGCTAAAGGGAGAAATCAGTTTTATATTTTGAATATAGCAGATCAGATCAGAGCTACAGATTGTGCCTAAATTCCAGCTCGAGCTTTTTTTTCTGACATACAGAGAACAGGCGCCTTTTTCCCCCCTTTAGTGATTTGTTGCCCTGATCTGTATCACTTTCAATTTGCAAATTTCTGCCTGAAAATACTCTGTTAGTGTCTCACTGGATGCGTCGCGCTTTGCCGAGGTCGGCAGGTCTGCCCTGATTTGCACAGACAACATCTTTTACCCCATCACAGGGCTGCAAGGCCCAGTGACATTAAATGAAAATACTCTGTGAGCAACTATTAAGCCTCACCTCTTCTATTCTTCTTGGCTCCTTTGCATCTCATCACATATATGAGCGCTTGCACTGCAGCGTGCACATACTCCGTCAGAAATTGATAAGCATTGATTAGATCAACAGGGTTGCCAGGGGGATTGTTGTTGTGGTAACAGCGTGGATAGCCTAGCAGCACTCGGCCCGCTCACACTCGCAAACACTTCACAGCCGCCGTGGCATCCGTTAAAGTGGTTGCATCCATTTTTAATTTCCACGCATCTCTTCAGTCAGTAATAGAGACGCTTTGAAGTGATGTCTTGATTACTCTGTCAGCTGAAATTCTTCGCAGTCTCGTTTGTTGCCATGCTTTATTGGATTGTGTTCAGTCCGTTGGCTATGATTCACACTGCGAGAAGAGAAAGAAACTGCAGTGCTCACATTACCCTTCTTGCGTTAGTTCTACTGAATAGAGTTCATCTATATCGTTCATCAGTGCACCGCATTCCCAGCTTTCCTTGCTGCACCGCTCCCTATTGATTCCTTTTAATTGAACTGTTTGTCAGATCGCAGTGCAATTTCAAGCAGACACATGGTGTATTGGTCAATCCCATGCCCACACACACAAACAAACGGGCTCTAATGCTGTATCACAGAGTGACCTTGAGGGGCTTTGATGACGGGTCTCAGTGGGAACAACAGTTGCAGCGACACTTTAATGCTGTTTATTTCAGATGATTTACTATTGCGGTAATATCAGGAAGGTAATTGGATGTCATGGTGGGTGTTTTGGCAGCGTTTGCATCGCCAGAGCAGAGACACGCTAACAAAATGTGCTCTAATGGTTTTTTTATACAGCGATGACCAAGAAAAGCCGCGATTTTTCCCACAAGGTTTCACATCGCAAGCTGTTCAGTTTGTGATGAAACGGTGCCGGCTGTGCGCTGTGGGAAATACGATCAGCACATTTGGAAAGCGTGATGAATCTCTGGTATTGCTTGGCTCATGCTACCTGTTGTGTTAAAATGCTGTAGGCATACATGACTCACCAAGCTCCCACCATCACCCTGGAGGCAACTGCGTCACTGACAACGGCTGTCTTTTTTTCTTTTTTTTTTGTTACTCGCCTTCATTGCCCATTTCACTGTGTTACAATATGTCCTGACTACAAAGAGTTTACATGTCTTGTCCTTTTTTCTTTTTTTCTTTTTTTTGTTCCTGTCTGCCCTTTTATCTTTCATGTTTGATTGAAGATTGAGCTTTTTTGATATATATATATATATATATATAAACAAAATACAGTGAGAGAGAGAAGGAAAGAAAACTAGAAGGAAGAGTAGAAGGAACTAAAAGGAGAGTGGGGTAGGCAGGGTTTGTGGAAATGAACGGTCGTGAGAGATTGGATCAAAATGTCAAAGGTAGAGAGAATGCTAGCAAGGTAAGGGAGGGACTGATGTTGTTGACATATTGTTGAAATTCCAAAATAATTATTAGAAAAGGGGATAAAGGATGAAGAAATTAAAGAAAAGACATGAGGAGGGGAGAGAAGAGGGAGGATGATATGGAACAAAGGAAGAGAGAAAGCGGAGATGAAAATAGGTAGGTGCAGGAGATGAAAGACAAGGGGAGATGAAAAAGCAAAGTATGAGAAAAGGGGTGACAAAAAGAGAGGTGAGGAAAGAGCAATTTAAAAGAAACGGAAGGAGTAAAATGAAAAAAGATGGGGAAAGAAAAACAAGCAGAGAGTAGAGAGAAGGAAAGACAAGGAGGGGAATGATGAAAGCAAAAGGAAGGAAGATGGCGGGAAAAGATGAGTGAGTGAAAGAACAAAAGAGGAGAGGAGTCAAAAAGTTTAAGAGGTCTGGAGAGGAGATTGGAAATAGAGTAAGGAAGACACGGGAGAGGAGAGAGAAGGAAAGGCAAGATGAGGGGAGAAGAAGAAAGCATACAGGTGAGTCAAGGCTTGAGAACAAAAAATCAGGTGAAGTTAAACATAACTTTAAAAAAAAGGATGAGTTGAAAGAGGTGATAGAAAAGGAGGTGAAAGGGGAGAAAAGCACAGAAATTCACACTGACCTCTGAACACCAGGAAGAGATAGCCTAGCTCTAGCAGACAAGCCCCCAAATTGTCCTGACCCACTTTATTCCCCTTCTGCCTTTTCCGTCTTTTCCTGAGCTCACTCGAGGGAGTGGATGTTACATTCGTAGTGATGTTTTCGTGCATCTGGATGTCCAGTCTAAGCGTCAACCTATTTCAGGAGGACAAAGTGAAGAATGCAGAGCTGCTCCTCTGTGCCTGCTTCCCTGCTCTGATCAGCAGATTGCTCATGTCTTGTTTGCCTGGGATTATCTCTGACACACGCATTAGGCAAATGAAGGGAAGCGTCTGCACTAGCCCACTGGACCGTTGTGGTTTAGCGTGCTGGGTGCATATTTCTCTGATTTGCATCTCATTATGGGATATGCTTAGCAAGTAGGTTACAGTACAGAACTGACATGACTGTACGTCTGAGTGTTTACATCAAATGGCCTGTTTGTTCCCCACTTTGATGAAATGATGATGTTTGCATGCTTAATGGTGCAGTTAATTGGTATGCTTTCAACCTGCAGACGATCCAGAAGGCTCCTTCGTGCCGCCTGAGTTTGACAACACTGGCAGCACGTTTGAGGTGAGAAATGCTGAATCTTCTTACTCGATGTGGTCAAAGGGACAGTGCAGTCATTCACCCCTGGGAGTTTCTCAATACAGCACACAGTGGTGATGTTGCTGAAAGAGAGGAGAGTGTTGTTTGTTCTCTGCTCTCACCTTAAACTCCATGCAAGACAGCAGCCATTCAGTTATATGCCCACCTCTGTCACCTCGAGCTGTGAAACAGTTATATTTGTGAACTTTCTAATTCCAAAATAGTTTATATTTTTATAATTTTCACAATAAATTCTATCTGTATGTCTGTAATAATTAGCCCTTTTTTTTCTCTTTATTCCCCCCTCCAAGTATGCACAGTTTATGGCGGCTCTAAAACAGCTGTTATTCATTTGAGCACACAATTCAATAAATGAAACCATTTATTTCCAAAGTGACAGCTGTGCGTTACATCTCTGAAGCTTTGTGATGTATCAAACCATGGATATAAATGGATTCAGTTTAAAGCTTCAGGCTGAGATGTGGAAATCACTATAGATTCTGGCCAAGTCAGTGACATTCATTTTATTGATTATATGCTATATAGAAATATTCTGCTGTGGCGGGGCGTGGCCTGCGGTGCCGTGCAGAGGAGGCGGACGCACCTGCACGGCATCCGCAATCACGCCCCGCCGAATTAAATATTGTACTGGGTCCTGTGGTTGGGTTGTTGGTGTTATGTTGAGCTGGAAGCAGGAGAGCTGCAGCTCTGAGTGCGAATGTACAGCAACCGTGTAGGGATTAATAAAAGCAGCAAAATGCCACTGGGTCTGCCGTGGTCGTTTACATCTGCAAATAGTCATACAGACTAATGTGTAGTTACTTACGGCAAGAAGGTTGCGTTTTTGGTAGCATTTACGTGCATGGCATTCTGTGTGTACACACGATCGCTCGAACGGTTGTGAATGAATTCTGATAAAACTTTGTGGGGAAACTAGGAATCAACTAAACTAGGATTCTTACATACTGAAGTGAAATGGACCAAAATTGATTGATTGATAATACTCTATTCATCCCGAGGGAAATTGGGTTAAGGCTGCCAGCCGTACCAGCGCCATCTTACCCTTCCGACCATACATGAATTACACAAACATCACATGGGGAAGACAGGTCAGAGAGGTATAACAATGGAAAATGCACAACATGAGGAAAGACCATACCAAATCTGTTAAGAAACACTGTAAAAAGCACTGTATAAAAATTTTAGATGTCATGTTATATTTGACCTTTGACCGCTCTTTCAAGGTCAGTAGATTGAACTGAATGTCAAAGTGATAACTATGTTTCTTAATGTAATTATTTCCATTAAGAACATAAAGGCACATAGGGAATGATATATGGTGATCCTAAATAGCGCGTTATTTTATTATGACTGTGTTACAGTACATACATAATAACTTGAATACGTGTGCGATGTTCCTAAATAATGATTATTTGCACAAATTTCAAGAGTGTAAAAATGGTTTGGCAGGAACTAAAACAAAACAACTGATTACATGTTCACGTCTATGGCAATGTCATGCATACAGTTTGTGCAGCTGTAAATTTAACACCAGAATATAAAGTGTGGATTCATTATGCAATGCACAGGTTTGCATACCTGACATACTTTCAGCTGAGAATCTACACTGGCACATTATTGTTATTGTTCAGAGTAAATTATCAGTGATCTAGGCAGGTGTAAACAAAACCACTTTTATGAAAAAAGTCAGACTTCCCAGCCATAGTCGAGGTTTTTTTGTTTTTGCACCTTGTAGCCGCTGTGCAGATTAACAATGTGCCATTGAGCAAACTGTACAGATAAATATCATTTATTATTAATCGCTGTGTATGTTGATATTTCATCACAGTTACGTTTCAGGCAGACGCACTTTGAGAAAAGCCTTTTTAAATATTTTAAATGCGTGTGTGCTATCTGCGATTTTTAACCAAATAGCAGGTTACACACCATTTTGCCACTTTTGATTACTCATATACGCACGGTCAATTTCACTGCAGTTGAAGAGATCTGCTGCGAATCCTGCCCTGAATTACACTTGACTACATTATTCTGAGAGGTGTTTCTAATTTGTTTTCCTCCCCATTTACATTCACGGGCGGTGCGAAATGTCAGAGACACCTGAATATAAAGCAGTTCAGTCTACACCACCACTAAGTGTGACCTCACTGCTAAAACATTAACACCTACATCTGTGTCAGCAAGAACATGGCAGTATATTATGTACACCATAACAGAAGAGTTGTATCGGATTACATTATATTCATTTTGGATGGGTGGATTAGCAAATGCTTCTTTGCTTTGAGTCAGTCTGAAGTGCAGGAATCAGCCTCACAGCTCATGCCTGATACACGGTCTGACCTCTTTTAACTGACTATAATCCCAGACCTCAGTGATTCACTTGGCTGGTACACAGTATCATCATGACAAACACAAACTGTGTCCACAGCTATGAAAATAAGCTTACAGTTTAATTCAACCCAAATTTCCCTTTAACATTCAGCAGTCTAAATCTTAAAACAGACTGGATCGAGTTGTTCTTCTGACTAATGCGTTTAAGCACGAGCCTCTTTATCCACGAATTTGCATACTTTTCATTGTAAGGTGCTTGCAGCTCCAGGTGTAAACATGTCTGAGTACTCTCCTCTGCACATTTATCTTTGTTCCTGCTGCAATTCTTTTAAAAGTAAGTCTGCATTTCTCTCACTGGGCTTAATAAATGTTCATCTCCATTATGTATCCTTTTTCGCTGTGGCTGAGTGCAGCTGTGTAACCACTCTATTCATCTTTTTAGACTTCTCTGTACATCTATGTCTGCTGTATTATGGATACAGCACTGAAAAAACTTTATTGTCAGGAAACAGACAAATGCCTTTCATGCGACTGAATTCTAAAGCTTTCTGCTTCCTCCGTAGAAATGCAGAATTCAAATGTGAAAGTCGCACTCTGCCACTGAGCGGTGCGACTGTTCTCACCACCGCATGAATACATTTGCAGCAGACTTATGTAACTGGATTTCAAAGTAAACTGTGCGTTCTAATTTTTTGCAGTTTTTCTAAAGAACTTCTTCTTCTTGCACATTTGTTTACCACATAAGTATGGGTCGAGCCTACTTCAACTGTTGGGAGCGATAGTTATGCGTAGGTCATGAACTCCGGAGCACCTGGTTCATATCCACTGCTGTCTCAGGGCTGACCATAATATCCACCGTCAGCGAAGCAAAGCAACACAAAGGCTCCGTCATAAATATGCCTACCTGGCAGCGATGCATAGCAATTATGGCCTATAAAGTTGTTACGGGATAGAGTGTTATTTTGAGCTTTTCTAAACTCATTCATGGATTCAGATCTCTGTGTGTACTGTAAATTCACAGCTGCAGCTGCTTCGTGATAATGACAGTGTTGTCTCCCTGTCTACCCCCGGCTACAGGGCCATGTTTATTCTCTGGGCTCTACGCTTTCTGCCGCACTGAACTTTGTCATCGAGCCAGAGCTGGAGGCAGATCTGGGAGAAGAAATCCAGAGGCTGCTGGAGCAGATGCAGGAGGAGAAGCCTGAGGACCGGCCGCTCCTGCAGGTACAAAAAAACCTGCTGACTCTTTATTACTGTTAGAATGATTTATAGAAAGCTGCGTGGTTTAAACTGCATGAGACAGCTGTGAAATAATTAGAGGTCTCACTTCAGAAGGCGTTTTGTCCTGGGATCACACTAAAATCATTATAACTTTCACACAAATGGGAAAATTGGGTGATTTGCCTTTTTGACATGTAGTGAGACAGGAAAATATGGTTAAATATGAAATGTGTCGTGTTGAACAAATAGGAAAAGAACTGAAAAGCAATATCTCGTCATGATCTAATACGATGGATAATGATTGGCCAATAGCAATGTGTAGCCTGTACCGATGCTTTCCTCACATATATCAAGCCAAACAGTACATCCCAGCAGAACACGGAATGACTATTGCTTTACAGTCAGAACAAATATATGGATACTTTGTGTGATTACTGTAGTATTAAATCATGTCTGCTTTTCAACTATTAGACAAACTGACAGTCCATATTACTCCAGTCAGTCCGTGCTCTTGAGCAGCATCAAGTGGAAATAATGTGTCACTGCAAGTTTTGCATTTCACTGTCAGCCTCTTACAAGATAAACCTCAAAGAAAAAGAAAAACAGAAGTAAAATTGCTCATTCTAAGTGGAAAAAGGTGTTATATGATTGTAATATGTACTACAACTTTATGAGAACCCTCTCAGAAGTCTGCATATAAGCATACAGAATAAGGCTCATGAAGAGCTCATGGTAACAAAATCGCAAAAAAACCCCAGCAACTAGTCAATAATTCTGAGCAGTCATCCCTCCAGAAACAGCTAATTGGAAGGGGTTGCCAAAACACCCAGGCAAAAGTCCAAATCTAGAGATAAACAACAGATTTCAAAAAGAAAAAAAGGAGATTAAACACTGAAAATATATACAAAACTGCATAAACAGATAAAAAGTCCAAAAATGCTCTACAGCTCTAACATAGATGCCAATAATCCAGTGAATATCCACGCAGTGAAACACTGTGTATGTATGTGATGTATGAAAACAATATGTAGGAGAAATACATTTATTCACAACTACTTGAAAAAGTAGCACATACACACGGTACTATGTATGTGTTTTCTGTTCATGTGTTGCAAACCTGCAAGTGTAACACTCCCACAGGACATCCTGTCTCTGGCCGAAGGACGGCTGTCCCGCACCTCCTCTGCAGCTGTGTGCCGCAAACTCTCCTCAGTTGGACGACGCGTGCTCTCCATTGAATCGGTTTCAAACTTTCAAGGTTATCATGTTCATCACGTGTATTCAAACAGATCGCCCCTTAGTCTCTTCCGTGATTTCTCCTGCTGTTATTTTCTTTCTTTTGGCATCCACAGATGGGCAGGAGAGCTCCTGGGAGGCGAGATGGCAGCATTCCAAACCTAAATGTCTTCTTAAAAGACTGAGCTCAGATGACAACACCAAAGATCAGCATGACAGTTCTGTTAAAACAAATGGTCTGTCCAGGCAGCAGGTATGGAGCAAGTTTTTAAAAATGTAGCAAGCAGCTGGAGGAAGAAATGTTTTTAAAAACCTGTACTGCCAGCAAACAGCTTTTCCAGAATGTTATTGGTACCTATTCAGAGCCATTTCATAATTGAAATATATGTTTTATTTCATTTTCTGACTGTGTGCTAAATGAGCTAGTGATGCAACATCATGTCAGAAAAGTTATTGGCAGATTTAAGCAACATGTTAACACATTCCTTAAAGGAATCATATACAGTATTTAACTGTGTTTGCAAAGAGTAGAATATTACTATACAACTTGCTTTACAAGATTTTATTTACATTGTTGTTAGAATTTCAAAAACAACTTCTACTGTATAAACCCCTATTAGATTACCAGAGTTTGTACAATCATAAAGAGCTTGAAAGTCAATATTTGGTATGATCACCTTTATTCTTCAACACAACTTGAACTCTCTTAGGCAGATTTCTTGGAATTTCTTTAAGTAATCTTCAGGAATATTTCTCCAGGCTTCATGAAGGACAGTCAGAGCTCTTCTTTGGATGTTGGCTGACTTTTATTCTGTTCTCTGTCACGATGATCCCACACCACTTCGAAAATGGTGGTGTGGTCCATGACAAAGCCGCCACCGTGTTTTACAAATGACATTCACTGTTGTGCCTCTCTCCAGACCTCCTCTGTGCATATTGACAATGATTTGAACCAAAATAATTCATCTCTCCATGAAACCTGTTTCCACAGATTCTCAGTGCAGTTCTTGTATTATTTGGCATACCTCAGCATTTTCTCCTCGTTTCCCTTGCTTAGAATGATTTCTTGACAGTTTCTTGATCATCTGATCTTAGCTCGATTTGCTCCAGTTTCTGAAGGACATGACTTTTAGATAGTGTTCATCTGCTGCCATAGATAATTTTTTAGCTCTGTCTTTTCTTTTTTTCCTCCTCTTGTCCAATTACCTGAAATTTCTTTAAGGACAGACTGCAGGACAGACCTTCAGAAAGCCTGAATAACTATTGCTCAAGAAAACTTAAAAATACAAGAAAGTCTGACTGCTTGAAAGAGTGGCTTAAGATCTTTGGGCAGTGCTGTATATTTGCACTGATGCTCATATTAAGCTTGGCAAAAGTTTCAAATCATAGGGACCTAATTTCTGTCAGTAATCCCTAAAAGCTCGGGCTTCAGATGCTCCAAACTCTTTGGCCATATTTGTATCCATAGATCTGTGTGATGTCAGAGAGAATATCTTCATATGGTCACCTTAGGCACAAAACTCCAGAATACAATATAAAATTGTAAAGCATAACATTATCAAGAAAAAAAAACTATGGAGTTGAAAAAGGGCAGAATTGAGATTTATGTTCTTTCCATTTCAGTTTGCTCAGTTATCTAAACTATGGTTTCTGTTTTACCATCTAGATAATTAAGTTTATTTTTTGCCTTCAAAACAGCCGAAACCAATGATAATGTTCTCAATCTGCAGCTGTGTGGGGGCTGGGATTCCTCTCTCTGGGCTGAGGACATGGAGGGCAGTGAAAGAGACAGCTTGATCTTGACAGATGAGATGGATTGCCGTTCTCACAACAGCTCCCCAGTGAGGAGGAGAGCACAGCAGAGGCTGAACAGAGTGAGGGGGGCCCTTAACCGCTCCTGTTCTGTCCCGGACTCCAACAACCCCCCCTGCTTCTCCCCTCCAAGTCACGGAGACATCAGTATACCGGTTTCAGACCTCACTGAGATAGGAGCAGACGAGCACTTGAGCTGCAAGTCTGTGTGGAGTAACAGACTTCAGAGATTCAGCCGGGGAAAGTCCTGTGAGACGTACCCACACTGTAACAGTGAGGACTGCTGGGAAATGTCCAGAGAAACTGAGGATGCTGCAGAGACTGAACACACCAATATTCAAGAGTGCCACGAAAGTCAGTGTGAGGAGTGCGCCCAGGACTTCATACAGGACTTCGTGCAGGAAGTGCAGGACTCCTCATCCTGTACTTCCCTGAACATGGAACAGGACTCTTCTGAAGACCAGACTTCACTAAACCACAGTCTATACATTCCTAATAACTACATGACCAAAAGCATGCTGTTCCTGAATGAAGAATCTCAGGATGAGGTTAGCCATTGCCAGACAGCCTTTAAATTTATGGCTCTATGCTCACATCACATATTTTCTTGCAGAGAAACAACAGAGGTCTCAGGTGAAGGCTGAAGTGGGCTCAACCTTTTTGTATCCTCTCAAAAAAGCTTTGAGTTGGCAGTTTTAGAGGAATATGAAGGGAAGATATGAAGGGAAGAGCTGGGTTCATTTCATAGTCTTTAACTGCATTGTATGACCTATGTCAGTACAGGATCTTTGCTCATGTTAAGATGGCTGAAAAGCTTTGGTGAAAAATGCTTGAGTGGATGATGATGATAATTTAAGATTGTTGAGCTTTCACCATGCAGCTAGCCAAGGAGGAGATTGCTAAGATTATTAGGGAATAAAAAAAGTCCAGAGTATTTCGCACCTTCTAAAAAAAAAAAAAAGTGGAGAGAGATACAGTAATGTAAAACTGTTACCTGATTTCAGATTTTTGCAAATAATTAATCCTCTTTGAAACAGCTTAGTCAGATGAAAAGCTCACCCACACATTTCTCACACCCGCAAAACCATAAAATTAGAGTCAAGTGACAGAGTAATCACATAGGTACTCAGCAGCAATAGAAGCATTAAAAAATAGATTGGAATTGCTCCAGTTAGAGTTAATTAGGCCTTCTGAGGGAGCATCTGAAACTCTTTAATCTATAACACATTCCCTTTTTAAGATTGGTTTGTTCTTGTTTTCTTTCCAGTGGATCTCTCTAAGAGAGTTGCTTGCTCGTTGTGGACGGAGGCTGACAGTTAATGAGCTGTGGGCTCTGTGTTACACCTGCCTAACCTCACTGCAGAGCTACATTGACTTTCCAGGTGATTTTACCCACTGTATTCACAAAACCAGGAAGAAACTATCCCTGCAACAGCAGTTTTCTCTTCATTTTTGAGCTACAATAGCTTACAATAGACTGGTAGAAAGTTCCAAAGCGGAGAGAAAAAACTGACTAGAAATATTATGCAAATTACGTTACATGGTTCTAGCTCACAATTCTTCTGTGCAGCTGATTTCTCTCTTTTCTGTTAGCCTATTTATGCCTGGACACGGTGCATGTGGGCTGCAAGGGAGAAGTGCTTTTTTTGAAACCTAAAAACATAGGTAGGTACTTCTTAGTCATCTGCTGTTGTGTTTTTCAGGTTTTTGGGGGAGGGATTTGCAATCTCTAGTTGTATACTCTCAAAATACTCACTGAAAATGCACTCTTATCCAACGTGTATGAGTATATGTTGACTTTAGGAACTAACTGTAAGTGTCCTTTGCAGGATCTAGAGATGAATTTTATCTTGCTCCTGAATATCAAGAGCATGGAATTGTAACAGAGAAGGTCGGTCTGTCAGAACTGCTTTCATTCATTTTTAAAGCGAAATTTTAAATAATTTATTTCAAATTAACCCCCACCCCGCTTCTTTTTGTTCTCGTCTGTCTTTGCTCAGGTTTGCGTGTATGGGGTTGCTGCCATTCTCTGGGCCACAGCCAAGTTCAGTTTATCACCTAATCAAAAACTGGCGATGCCTCGGAAATTAAAGAGACTGCTCCTGGAGATGGCTAAGAGGACGCCTATCGAGCGACCTACCATCGACATGGCTAAAAAAGTATCATAACCCATTATTATTATTATTATTATTATTATTATTATTTAAAAAACATGAATTGTCACCTTAATCTAACACTATGAGTTGCTAGTTTTTCTCTAATGAAAGTCTTTATGTGGTTGTCAAAGCAAATTATCTGTGGGGCTCTATGCCTGACACTGCCAGACAAGAAAACCCTTTATCACTAGCTGGCTGTTACTCTGTTTTCTTCTTTGAACACATACAAAGGCATCACAGTCTTTTACTACATTAGCTTCAAATGAACTATCACAGTGCTTTTTGAATTCCTGAAATTTCTGACAAGAATGTCTCCAGCTAGTGATATTTTTGTCATCAGAAAGTTATTGTAAAAATACAACATGACAATTTGATTTCAGTATTTGTGCTTTTTTTTTTTTTTGTTACAAATGAAAATTGGGTTGTAAAACTTACATTTAGAACAAACACGCTGGCATGTTAAACAGAAGCCTGGAGTTATCTTACAAAGGTAGGTGCTTATATTTATAGAATAGAATTAATGACTTTTTTTAAGCATTTAAAATGCAGTACAGAATTCCCAGTGCCATTTTAGAGGCCACGGGGAGTCTTTACTGTTGTTAGTTTAAGAGCACTACTGAAGATTTCAGAACAATACTACAGACTTTTTGATTTTTGATAGCAAAGAGCCACAGCAGCAGCTTGATTCCATTGATATCATGGTTTCCTCGTGACCTTTGCTGTTGCACAAATTATTTTTTTCCGTATTTCTGGCCTCTGTGGTCTCTAGAAGACTTGGAGGCTTTTGTAAAGCTTAGGACATCGAATATTTCCACTTATGAGCAAATAAAAAATGTCAGACTATGCAACTGTGGCTTCAGTACTAATTAGTATATGTTAACATGCTAAACAGGTTTGTCGGGTTTTGAGTTTTATGGTCAGATATAAAGTCATGGTAAAAAAACAAAAAAACAATGTATCCCATCTTTAAATTCTAATGTTTTATTTATCAGGACATAATAAAAAAAAGATCTGATTCTTACCAGGACTTAAAGTTAGTAAAATAAAACAGATAAATTGCAGAAGCAGTATGTGAAAAACTACCAAACCAAATGATTCAATAGCTTGTAGAACTAACTTTATCAGAACCTGGAGTCTTTGTTTCATAAAAGACTTTATGACACTCTCATGTCATTGTGGAGGATTTTGGCCCACTTGTCTTTCTGCTTTATTTTATAGAGGGGTTGATTTTATTGAGGTTTGAAGCCATTCATTCACCACAGGTTGAGGTCTCAACTTTGACTGCACCATTGCAACACCTTGTTATTTTCCTTTACGGCTATTCTGTTCTAGATTTTCCTGGCATCATTGTCCTGTTGCTTGACCTAATTTCAGCAAAAACTTTCAGCCGTGCTGCCATGTTCTATCTATAGTGAAAGGCTGGTTGCATTAAGAGATCTGACATTTGATTGGACAATCAAGTGTCAGTAATGAAAATAAAAAACAAAAAAGGGTCAAGCAGTTCAGCCCTGCTTTCCTCCAGGGCATTTTGTTATCACACATTACAATGATTCAGACCAGCAAACTGACAGAACCTCTGCTTTTACAGAAGTGGTCATACTTATTTATAATCAGTTTAATAAATGCAGTTGATTTGCAACACCCATTTGATACTGTATGCCCCCATGCATTCAGTACTATCCATCCATCCTTTCATATTCTTCTGCTTATCCGTGGCCGGGTAGCAAGGGCAGCAGCCTAAGCAGAGAAGCCCAGACCTCCCTCTCCTCAGCCACCTCCTACAGCTTGTCCGGGAAAACACCAAGGCGTTCCCAGGGAGATATAATCTGTCCAGCGTGTCCTGGGTTTGCCCCGGGTCCTCCACCCGGTGGGACATCCCGTGAAGACCTCACCCAGGAGCCCCCCAGGAAGCATCCTTGTCAGATGCCCAAGCCACCTCAACTGGCTCCTTTCGATGTGGAGGAGCGGCAGCTCTACTCTGAGCCTCTCCCAGATGAGAGAAGTCAGCCACCCTTCAGAGGAAGCTCATTTCCACCGCTTGTATCCGCGATCTCGTTCTTTCGGTCACTACCCACAGCTCATGATCATAGGTGAGGGTAGGGATGTGGATCAACCAGTAAATTGAGAGCTTTGCTTTTACACTCAGCTCTCTTTTTAGTACTAATGACATGTTAATGTAAAATGCTAAAAGAATTAGTCAAGCACCAAATACAAAGCAAATACAAGCAAAAATGTATCTACAATTTATCATACATTTATTTCTAACTTATGTTAGAATACTAAACTATGAAGTGAACATGGTAAACATTGCTTGCTAAAAATGTACATGATGAATTTAAGTGCTGGCGTTAATCAATGTGGAATATCCCTTCCAAATAAATATAAAGATATGCTAACATGAGCATCAAAGCCATATATGGTGCAATAATTATTTAGGGTTTCACACTAAAAAAGAATCCCTGCCCATTTTTTAATACTTTTATTCATCATAGACTTTCTATTCTATCTCTGATTTGTGTATTCTAATGACACTTTTTAAAAAATAATTTATTATGAAATGCACTTTGCATTACACTTTCTTGTTTGCAAAGTTTTCTATAAATAAAGCCCATTTTGATTTTGTTTATCACTGTGCAGATATCACAACTTCAAAGAGAAGCATCATTGCTTAGAGTAATCTCTTTTTTCCCTTGTCATTATGTCAACAAAGAACTCTGTGACAAATGCCATAATTTACTGTTACTGTTACCCTGTCAATCCTTTTAAAAGGGTTGCTGCGTGGGTTTTTTTTTGTTTGTTTTTTTTAACCCTTGAGCTATTTCAGGAGAGAATTAGTTCTGACATTATCCATATCTGTGTATGAAGTGCCTTGTATTGCTATCACACTTACTCTCATGTGGATCTGTTCCAGAGCTGTTGTGACTACTTATCACGCCAGGGGACAAATGCTGAGACTGTCTGGAACAACCTCATCAGCAGAGTTCACCCGGTAAACCTTTTTTCACCACAGATATATTAATGCTGTTGTACCTGTGTATTAGTAAAGTGTCAGTGTCAGCTTCTTGTGCTCAGTGTCGGTTGTGTTTTGTGTCACTGAATAGTCAGTTCTAGTTGTCATGAACATATTGTATTTTCTTTTCAGCCAACCTTAAAATTCTCAGATGCAGAAGATTTGACGACCACTGAAACATGCCAAAATTCATGTGAAGAGTCTGCTGAAAACAACAGTGGTAGGGCAGCTTTACTTAAGTAGGGATGACCCTCGTGCAATACATTTTACTTTAACATGTACAATATTTTACATATCCTAAATGTATGAAATATTAGTAAGCCCCCTCTGAAACAAACCAATAAAAATGTATTTGGTCTCATTAATTCGAATCAGAATTAAAGCTGATGGTATTTTGTACATTGCACGAGACAATATCACTGATATTGTAAATGGCACTGTGGTAACTGTGTGTAGGCTTTGTCCCCATGGCCACTGAGAGCCGACTGGCTCCTGTGCCTGGCCCTGTTCCCCACAGCTATCCAGTCAATCAGGAACTCCAGCTCCCAGAGGCCTTCACTTCCACCGCCACACACTTCACCCCCATCATCCTGACCAGTGAAGGAGGTTTAGAGGGGGGGGACCAGCATTTTTCAAATGACACTGAAGGGTAGGAATACAAAAGTGATATTACGGCTTTACAGTATATTAAACAACAATGATCAATCTATTTGTAAAACAAAGGTTTCAGAACCATTTTTGTAAATACACTAATGTGCTTTTTTTTCTGAGCGTTAGATGGGAGGCTGGTTAGCCTAGCTTAGCACAAAGGCTAAAATCAGAAGAAAAACAGCTAGGGTGGTTCTCTTTAAAGATAAAGGCCTAAAATTGGGCCGTACTAGCAAACACTTTTTAAAGCAATCAAATCATTTTGATAGTATAAACCAAAATGTCAAAACCACAAGCTGTAATTTCACGTTGACCTTCTTATTACGTATAGTTACTTGTTGTCATTGTCATGGTCATAAAAATGTTTATAAATGATCTGGCAATGAAAATAAAAGTAACTTGTTGATCACTTGACACACCAGCTCTGGTTTTGGGAGCTTGGATTACATAAAAACAGAAAAATTTCTGAGGCACTCTGTTGATTAGAAATGTAAAAATATTGCAGCTATGTAAATGGTTGAATTTACAGTTTTGTCGTCTTTCAATTGTTTTGTTTTTTTGGGTTTTTTTTTTAAGATGGGGACCTGGTCTGTGACCACTTGCAGGCAGTTGCCATCTGTAAAGCAATATTGTTGCAATATAAGATGGTGACAAGACAGCAACAGCATGCAGTCAGTCAACACATTGCTCTATGTATTAAACAAACATACATTTTCTGTTGGTATTAGTGTCTTACAGGCACATATATAAAAATATATCAACAAATGGTAACATTTCACTTCTCTAAATCTTGGTAAGCCAGTGAATGAAAATATTTTCCATGAATGCTGAGACAGTTTGGTAAAGGATATAGCTATGATCCATCAAAAAGTAAACAAAAAAAACATTTACAATAAATGTTATGCACCTAATACCTATGAGAAATGATTTGATCGACTGTCTATTTTACAGGACTATGGATGGATTCACCAAAGGCAGGGATCAAATTGTGAAAAGCAGCCTCGATTTCACTCCACCCTCTGAGTACCAACTTCCTCCACAAACTGAACCCAATCTCCATACTCAGGAGAAAACTACATCTTTTACAACTTCTAGCAGCAAGATGCTGGTCGACTCCCCTTCTGCTCTCCCTGATATGTCTTATCTCGAAGTCTCTGTTTCTCTGCCATTATCCACTAACCTCAATGGTTGTGGTATTTTCAATAATTACCTCTTTCGGCAGAACCCCACAACAGGGCATCTTTCTCTAGTGCCTGTGCAGGTCAAGGCTCCCGAGTCTGTCCTCGGGTTGGATATAAATCTCTCCTTGGTCCCTCAGCCTTTGCAGGGGCTAATCACAGTTCCAGAGAGCATTGATGGTTCATTTATTGACTGTCTGAATGTGCCTGTTAGGCCTGGACCACAGGAGTATGAACCACCATCATCACATTTTAGTGGAAGCTCAGTCATTTCCGACTCCTGCATGGAGCACAGTGTGCTTGGAGCATACAAGGTCCAAACAAATCCAAGAACACGAGGTGAGAACCAGTCTGCTCGAACATCCAGCTCCCCAAACGTCCTCCCTGCCTTAAAGGAGGTGATCGATCTGTTGAAGGGCGAGTTTTCCCTTGATGGATATTTGGACAATGGGCATGAGGACATTGCCATGGGTATGTATCTACAGATAGTTATATTTATATCTGTGGGTAGGCACTGGATTTCATAAGAATTTAAAGGATTTCGATTCCATAATTGATATTACTTTTTGGTTTGATTCCTTATCGATTCATGTTGAGTTCTCATTGGCTCCGCTTTGAGAGTCACGACCATCTCTAAGTAGTATTAGTATTTTTGCATCTTAGAGGTATTTCTCCTATTTGCTGCGATCAGTGTTGGGGTCATTATTCCAAAAAAGTAGCCTAACGTTTTGAACATATTACACAGAACACTTTTCTTAAAAGTAACACACTACGTTACTTAATTACTCCCAAGGGAAAGTCGTTATACTACTCGTTACATTACTTTTACGTTTCTTTCTTCGGTTTGTTACCTGTTGAAGTTCAGGGTCTGGTTATGACTGAGTATTAGGGCCACATTAAGAAAAAAATATTGTTAATCGTTTTGAGAATAGAACTTAGAACTTAGAACTTTTTTTATTGTCAATACACATTTGCTTGCACACTGAAATTTGGAAGCAATACCACAAAGGTGGGAAAGTAAAGAAAACAATATACAAGAAAGAAGAAGAACAGAAAATATAAGAACACCATGTCGAAATTTCGCAATTAAAGTCAAAAAGAGAAAAAGAGAAAAAAAAAGTAAAAATGTGGAGATTGCCATTGTTGTTTCACGACAAACTGCCACCTTTGCTATACCCTTTAGAAAATGCCTTGTGTAGATGAGTTAGTGAAACAAATCTATCAGCCCTCTTGTGATATAACATACATCCTCTTTATTTATACGTGCATTATGCTGCTAATGCAACTTCAGTTCAGCTCTTTGCAAGCCCCTGTATAGACAGCATGCTAATGCTAAGCAATAAAAATAAAAGTAATGTCTAGATCCACGCTGCAGACTGATTGTAGCTCAAGTGCAAGTGGAAATGATAAGCGGGATTGATAGGCAAGTAGACAAACAATTCCAATGAACTGGACTACTGTGATCAATTTCTCTACAGGACCCAGGTCTGGAGACTCATCCTTATCCGTGGATATTATAGTCAATCCAAAACAGATTGCAAAAGTAAGGATTACACAGCAGGGAGAAACATTGAAGTAGCTAATTTCCTTTTATCAATCTTTTTAGACTAATAAATGGAAAAATATAATAGCACACGGTCTGGCTTCTCTACCGTATGTGCAAACTTTGTAAGATTAATGCAATCATAATCATAACATTAGCAGTTGAATTATATCAATAAATAATAGAAGAATATATACAGTGCTTTATTAACAGCTAATTAACAGTCAAACAACACCCAGCTTAATTTGACAGGGTAAAATCCATTCTTTGGTAGTCCACTCATAATAACATAAAAACCTCAACTGATTTAAATTTGGTAGATCTCTTCTTCAGAGTTTTCTCTTTGTGCACACTGGGACTTTTCCCAGCATTGCTATTACTTCTTCAGTCTATGGAAGTCCCCTTCTGATCACTTTGAGTAAGTCAAACTATAACCCAGAGACCAAATGCAAGTTTGTTCCATGCCAACACAGCACTCCAGTCCCAAAGGGTGCTTCATCGAGTCAGGAGTGCGACCGGAAGCATGCATGTTCTGTTTTGCTTTTGCACTTTGTGATCACACAGTGTACAATGTTCCTACATTTACTTGGCAAACATGTAACTGTTGCTTCCTTTAGTTGCCTATATTCTGGGAATACTAGATACACTATTTGGACAGAAGTATTGGGCCACATCTTTGAATTCAGGGGCTTTTTGCCACAGTTATGTAAAAATCAAGCATGTAGCCATGCAGTCGGCCTATACATACATCTATGAAAGAATTAGTCGTTCTGAAGAGTACACTGAATTCTGCTGTTATAGGATGCCACTATTAAAATTATTATTGCAAAGTGGAATGGCAAGTCAACCAGAAAGCACCACATAAAGTTACAGAGTGGGGGGGGTCGCCAATTGCTGAGGGGAATAGTGCAATGTGGAGGTGGCCCACTACTTTTGCCCATATAGGGTAGACTTCAGTGTTATAAGGAATAGATGCCCCGAAGTCTAAGATTGTAATGTTCTATTAATGCCAGTTTGCATTTTTATTGCACTGATTTTCTTTTTCAGACGTATTCATTTGAAAATCTGCTTTTCATTTTCCGAGGGGAGTTCATCTTCTCTTTGAGGGACCTCCAATACCAGGCGTTTGCCAGCATCGTGAAGGAGAGATTCACTGATCTCTACTGGGAAGATGACTTACTGGGCGTATTGCATTGCTTGGTAAACTGCAGCACTTCCACACTGTAAGCATTTTTTTCCTCATATCGTTTATCTTTTTAAACAGTGGTTTTGGTTCGGGGTTTTTTTTTTGTTTGCTTGTTTTTTCTTGTAAAGACAGTGCCTGTTGTTTAAGCTAATGAAGTGAAGCATAAATAAACTAATATTAACTCCTTATATAAAGGCTTTTAAATGCTCTAATAACAACACAGTATTATTAATTGATGTTGCTTAGAAATAAAAAAAAAGTCACCTTGAGATCATGTGACTAGTGTAATATGAATAAACACGGTTTCTGAATGTTATCTTGCAGATTATTCATACAGATACAGATAATACAGATAATATTGCATATCATGATTTTATTTTGATGTAGTTTAATTTGAAGACATCACCTTGGCCTCTGGTAAACTCTTATAAGCATGTTTTCCAAAGTTTTAAATTAGGACCATTATGGAAATAACTGGCAAAATACAGACCCTATTAATTGATTTATAATAGACAGTTAGATTTCTAATTTAAGATAAAGCCATGTGGCAGGAGAAGGGAGGTAGCTTATTTACATATGCAACGGTGCAGAGTACAAAGATGTTGGAATAAGTTATGGGATGGAGTGCTGATTGACGATGACATCTTCTCCTCTGCACGCTTTCACATTCAAAGCCAACATTAAAAAGAAACAAACCTTCTTTTGCAAACCTCGCCAACCACATTAGCAGCTCCTATGGTAATAGCTATGCGGTAAGTTTTTCGGTACAAGTGCTATGTCAACACATTTAAAGCTCTTTCTGCATTGTTACTGATATACTGACAATTAGCCTTGGGCATCGGGTAGACTTAAGTGTATGGATGAATGCATGCATGTATTTAAACATAAGAAAGAGACGAGCACGGAGGCGAGCCTGTCACTTCTTTCAGACGTCTTTTCATCCAGGCGTTGCTCATGCTCTTGTGCTCAGGGCAATATGACAGACCCTTTAATGTGCTCTGGTAGAGAGACGACACAGCTTTGTAGAGAGATAGACATGTTTTTCCTCTGGCTGTGGGCTCGTTCACAGGGCTCAGCTGTGAAGGGTTCCTCCACTGCTTCAGATTCTCTGAAGGGATTGAGGGACTTGATGAAGACACGCTTCATTCTAACCCTGACAAGGACTGCAGTGGTCTGTTTTGGCACAGTATTAATTGTGCGGCTCAGTTGGTGTAATTTGCAAGTGCATAATGTTATTGATAAGCTCCAAGATGTTCAGTGGCTGCCTTGTTTCATTCTTTGCGAGTTTTCCATTGGAGCCAGTATTCTAGTACATTATTGATTAAAGTAGCAAATCCGTTGTGAAGTTGAGTGCTGTATGTGCTTTGCATTGTTGACTGTTTCAGTTATCATCATCACCATGTGTGTTTTCTCTGAATTGCCTATTACCTGCTTACTTGAATGCATGTCATTGGCAATATTCCCCTAATTAGTGCTAATTATTATTTGCTTTGAACATGCTGTGTGTTTTCTGTGCCCCGTGCAGCAGCTCTAATGATCAGCCTCCATCAAAGGCTGTGAAAAGGGCAACCGTTACCCCATCCTCAATAGCCGGTGTCAGGAGAGGGAAGAGAGAAGTTTGCCTGAACAGCTGTCTCGATCTGAATGGAAACTTCCGCCCGTCCAGTCCTGTTGCTGGGGATTTTTGGGAAGAAACCAAGGCCCAGTCCTGTCATGCAGAAAATAGGACTGTACTCGAGGATGTCAGATTGAGTTCAGAGCAAAATCAGCACTGCATCAGTGAAGGTAGGAGAAAGATTTGGTTGTTGACCTCTATCTCTTTTTTATTGGAGAGTTCTCACAGTCGGTTATATTTTGGATCCGTTTCTGAAATGCATAGGCTGAACTGGATGAACAAATCAAATAAAAGTGCTCCCTCTCAGGCTCTGAGCATCACCTGTTTGAGCTGAGGTTTGACTGAGGTTTTCATCTTCAGCTGTGAGTGATTGAGCCAGCCATGATTTCCTTTGAGATACATTTAAATTCAGCATATAATCTGATTTTAAAAATGGCATGTGAGGAAGATGGGATTGTTTAAGTTACAAACCTGCTCCCATAAATAGATTAGGGATTAGGAGACATTACTGCTGCTTACAGGAAATGTTGATGTTTCACTTGCTCAAGTACAAGTAAAATAAACTTGTAACTAAGTACTATGTGCAAGTGCTGCATTGTAACACAGTACAACAAGCGCAGTACTTTTTTTTTTCTTCTTAACTAAGTAGATGAAGGGATTTGATATTCATGCAGATTCTGTCCTGTTTTTAGATATCAAACTCCACCCTCTCTCTGATGTTTTGGTATATTTCTATCGCCTTGGCTGCTGACTGCAGTCATGAGGGCCATTGCCGGCTGTTGGATGCTGTTCTTAAGTTTGCGGCTCATTCAGAAGGGTCCAAGGCGTGCTAGCAAACTTGCAAAGGCTTTTTTTTTCTTCTCCCTTTTCTCTGAAACTCATTCCCGGGCAGTGACTTTCACACAAGCACACATTTGGTCTGTTTTTGTCATTACTGAAGTATGTTAGACATGGGCTGTCTTGATTACAGACAGGCTCTGAACAGATACTTGAAATTTAAAAAAAAAAGGATAGTGACTGAACTGTGAATTGCTTTAAGGGCATCTGTTAAACAGTAAGTGCATTGTGCAGCCACGAGAGGGTTAGCAACAAACACCCTCAGCGCCACCGTTGGATCTCTCCCTCTCTCTCTCTGTCTCTCTGTTTACTTCACAAATCCAGTTTGCCTTTTTTATACTCTCCATGTGATCCAATCCCTCTCTCTCTCTCTCTCTTCTGTCTTTATTTACAGTTCCAGGCGTGAACGCTGACAGTTCAGACTTGGGGGTCATGGAAGGAAGAGGTCATTCAGTGGGGGGCAGCGATGAAAGCCCCTCTGAAGCTGAGGTTCTATCAGAGAGAGAGGAAAGGCTTACAGGAGCCCACGATGAGCAGATGAGCCCAGACTGCTCCGAGGACATGGAGGACAGCGACTCCGTGGCGTCTGAGCGGCTTCTCTCCTCCAGTTTCAGAGCAGAGGGTCTTGGCCTCATTTCGAGCCCGGACTGGGCCTTGGCCTTCTTCGGCGAAGAGTGCTTTAGTCCCGATGTGATCCAGTATGCAGGGAATCTGGGACAGCACACAGGATCGCCATGTCTGGACGTGAAAGCACAGGTGGGTAAAGCTACGATGGCCACCGCCTCTGAATCATCCCTGACCTTAACCCTGAGCGTTTGAACGAACGGGAGATGCCATGATTTATTTATCACCTTTTCATGCCGCTTACATTAAATGTGTATGTATTAAATGTTATGCAATTTCAATGGATTATTCTATAAATTCATGTAAATGCAAATGTTTTATCGCTTTTTTAAGGCATTTGAAAAAAACTAATAAATACAGTCTTCTGTGCCCTGAGCCGAGATAAGTTATTTCCATCAAAATATCCTGTGAAGTTAAAGTTTAAATCGTTTTGGTTGTGCTGCTTGAGGTTGAAATCGAGTGCTTCTCTGTTTCATTCAGCTCCTCACCTGGTCGAGTTTTTTGATTAAGCGTGGGACTTATTTTCCTATCTGTAATGAAGTGGGGCACGGTCAGGCTTTGGGGTAAATAGGACGAGAACATGTGGGGGACTTTAGGGTAATTGGCATATTATTCTCTCCAAACTGGATCTGAATATTAATATGTTGAACTTAGCCCCTCAGCAGAGAAAGTTATTATCATTTGCAAAAGAATATTAATGAATCATCCTTGTGTTTGAGTGCTTTGATGGCACCACTGCTCCTTCTGAAGGTTTGCGTGAAAGCTAATAAACGTACCTTAAGAGCTGCGATGCTGCGACTTCTTACTCAGTTCACTTCAAAAGAGCTATTGCTTTCTGTTGCCACGGTGAAGAGAGGACAAAAAAAAAAAAAAAAACACTGGCCCATACACACTTAAAACGCCCGACGGCTTCTTTCAGCAGAAGGCATGTGGTGCAGTTTTAGGGCCTTTGTATGATTCTGTGTGATTTCCTTTGAACAGGAACTGCAGCAGCAGCTTGTAATTGAAACAAGGAATCTAAAGAAAACAAGAAATTTCTACCAGAAGTTGATTCAACAAGAGAGGAAAAACAAAGGTTGGGTGCTCGTTTTAACACGCCGCAGGAGTATGAAAATGGCAAAATGCTGTGTTTCTGATACAGCATGTAAAGACTGTGTGTGTGTATTGTACCTTTATTGTATTCCAAAGGTCCTGAGAGCAAGCCAATGCTCTTTAAACTCAAGTCACAGCTCGAGGAACTCAGGTCCAAAGTAGCCTTCTTGGATAGTGTGAAGAAATACCTCGAGGTACAGAAGCTTACCCAAAAATCTTATGCATCATACTTAACAACCCAGTTCTTGTAAGCTTGATAGAATATCTTTCATTTCCACAGATTCTCAGTGTGGACCAGTGGGGTTTGGAGCTTTCGTTGCTCCCCTCTTTGGCTGTCTGTGAACTCGAGTCGTTGGACCTCGAGTCCTCAGAGGACATTTCAGTCTTGAGTTTTGGTACCAGCAAAGGGAAGAGCACTCTGCAGGCTGGATCTTCTCTGGGCCTCATGGCATACCTCTACGCCAGGTACATTTGATTGAGGGTCGATTTTCTTTTCTTTCTTTTTTTAGTCAAGTTTTACAGTGCTGTGATCCAGGTGATAGGCTGAGTTATTTAACCTTCCGTCTGCTTTTTATGTGTCCAACAAAGGGATTTTACAGAGTCAAAAGAGTGTATTCACTTACAACGGGAAACTTAAGAATATATTTGATGTTTTATTGATGTGTTTTTTCTAAAATAAGGCCTTTATTACAGCTGGAATTTTTTATTTGCAGGGTATTTTTTCTCAGTAATGCCGACTAATTGTAAGGATGTCAGCATACTACACTTATATACTATATTGGCTGATAGGCAGCATACCTGCTAAACTTGAGGGCTTAAAAATTTGAACTAGGTACGAAACATTTGATCAAAAGGTGCAATTAGTTGAAACTGGGAGTGCAGTTTTTCTCTGGTTTGCATTCTGGTTGGCTGTGAAGTCACGCTCCACAGTAATCAGCTGAGCTCGCGTCCAGCCCTCAGCTGACGGCTCAGGTGATCCCCTTTTATTACCTCTAGGTGATATTATTGTAATTTATTATATTTTTGTTTGAGCCAATAAAGACTACACAAACTAACCCTTGTCCAAAAACTCAGAAGCCAGACTTTCCTCTATTTTAGCTTCGCTTCATTGGTTATTGGTTAATTGATTTGGGGATTTTTTTCTGTGAAATTTAAGGCCCTTTCTGGGCTCACACCAAGCTGTGTTTCAGCTCTCCTGACACCGTTTGCGCGTAACCTGAGGTCCTCAGCCGAAGCTCTTCTGGTCGTCCTGCAGTCTCAGCTGAGGTCCGAGAGCGATGGGGCTTCTTCTGTCAGGGCATGCGCGCTTTGAAGCGGTTTCCCTCCTTCCTGCATTTTTCGAGTTACCAGTTGTCTGATTGTTGTGACGATCATTTAAATGAGCGGTGTTATTGCACTGGGTGGGACATGTAACCGTATCGTAAGTGGAATTAACCTCAAACAGCATCAGCTATAAGATCTACAATAGCTTCTTAGCTCGGTCAGATAGCATTTGCAGTGTTTTTTCCATCTTTTTGTCTTTCTGCTGTCTTCTCCTGTGCTTAAGAAACTTTTAAGGCTCTCAAACATCATCCTCCACACATCAAACTGTTTCCCCTTAGATCCCTCCAAGATTTTGGGGGCTTTATTGCCAGTAGTACAACTTACAGACAATTTTGGCATTTTTTTGTCCTCAACAATTGGCTCACAGATAAGTAGCTTTTAATTTGCCTTAAAGTCAAAGTGCAGGTTCAGCTAAACATAGGGGGTCTTTATAAATTCCCATTTGTCTGGCGGCTCACATGAGACCCACCACCACTGACAATGTTGTGATTTTAGTGACGTCACTGCTCCCTCACGTTGAAAGGAGTCGTTAAAGTAGCTTAGGGCACCTCGGAAGGATCTCTCCCTGAAATGCTTTGTGAAATTTACACATCTGTGTGGGAAAAGATCCAGATGTAGGACATGTAGGGTAACTCACATATAGCAGGAAGTTGCTTCAGAGTTCCTTCAACTTCACCTCTTGTATGTTATATTTGCCGGGTCTGGACGGTTTGCGAATGTTTTTATATTCCTTTCTGTATATTATGTATCTGTTCTACATATCGTGTTTCTTTTTTTTCTATATATCATGTTTCTAATAATGCCTTGTGCTGATTTCTAATTAGTGTCTCTATGATTGTTTTCATCACAGAAATGCAGCTGTGGAGGGCTACATCCAGCAGTTCCTGTATACGTATCGTTTCTTCTGCACTCCTGAGCAGTTACTGCAGTTCATAATGAATAAATTCATCTGTGCTGTAAGGTAAAGTACAACCAGCAGCTCAGGACGACAGAGGAACAGCTCTGAGCAGTGTGCAGTTCCAATTCTTCCAATAAATGACTAATCAAAATGTGGCACACGGTATGAAACACGTTACATGTGGGTTTTATTTCTTTTCCCATTTCAGGGAGGGACCTGATTTGTCAGGAGACAGTGAAAAGGTTTTCCATCGGAGTTTGCACTTGCTTCACTTCTGGATAACAGACTGCAGAACAGTGGACTTTGTGCCTAACTCCAGCCTCGTGGACGTGTTAGAAAAGTTCCTTAATACTGAGGTAGCCAGATATGTACACACTGTGTACAGCGCCATTCCTTTGAATGAAAAATATTCTCAAGCATTCTCCATTTAATGCTTCCACAGGTGATTCCTGTAGACAGCCAAGGGGAAGCCTTGCTTATTGGTCTTCACAGCCCGCTGAGTATGAGTGCAGCAAGCCATCTGACAGGGAGCCTAATCAGCTTTGACGAAGTCGATGACTCTGGGTGTTTGCATTCATCTACTGAGGATCTTGGGAAAAAGGTCAATATTTACATTCTTGTTGTTGAGCCAAATTTCATCTTGATCTATTTTCCAATAAGATCAGATCCCTTAACAAGAAGTCTTTATTGCCCTAAACATGGCTTCCCAGATTTCTAAGCCTCTGTGTGAACTTTGCAGTGGAGGATCTCGCGAGTGGTGGAGCCCTCTGCATCCATGTCTAAAGAGAAGGCCTTCTCCATTGCTGTGGCTCTGCCCATGCCTTGTCACCGCTCCCTGATGGATGAGCTCTCCAGCACTTGCTTGCACAATGAAGAACGACTGCCCTTCAGCCAAAATGAGTACAGTGCACAGCACATAGCCCAACAGCTCACGCTCCTGCAGCAGGTAGCACACCATTTGTGTGACTGGTACACCACCTAATGTTGTTATCATTTCAAGCCACTAGAGGGAGCCATGTCTCTAAGAATTCACCAGCTTGTCATGTTGCATCTTGTATTTGTAACTCTTGTAATGCAGGAAATGTTCCAAGGATGCCATCCAGTTCATTTACTGAACTCCAGAATACAAGGAGTCAGGGACAAAGTCTCAACCCCGAACAAGTGAGTACAAAAGCTATAAAGCCTGCATTAGAGAGCCTCTGAAAGCCTCTGAAATAGCTTTCACAGCACCTTGGCAAACGATCAGAGGTCTCTGGCCCTCTATTATGAAAGGATTTTTAGGTGCAGAGCATTTGAATGTTTATGCACAATCACCCACAGCTGCTCAATTGTGCTGAGAAGTGTTGCCTGTGAAGGTCGCAGTGTATGATTAACATCATTTTCATACCCCATCAAACATTCAGTGACCTGTATAGAAAAACTGTTCAGCGTCCCCACTCACAGATTCACTTCATTTCTTTCTCTGCTGTTTCTTCCAGTCTTTATGCAGAGTGTGTGTGTTCCATATACAAACACCTGTTTGTACTTCTTCTCTGCACAGTACATGAAATACTAAACTTATCACATATCTATTTAATCATATGCATACTGAAGATTTTACTTATAAAGTTTCGATCAACACCTAAGTCTGCTCTACATTCTACTTATTGGAAGGTTGGTAGTTCGCTAACTGGCTACTACAATCTTTGGCAAGAAACTGAACCGCAGCTTGCTCCTGATGAGTTCATCAGAGTGTGAATGTGTGGGAAGCACACAGACGTTGGACGAGGGAGTTGGCAGGTTAAAGACAATTTAGTTGTGATACTGAGCTCAAACTAAACTGCCTAATCTTCACTGGCTCATTTTCCAGAATACACCTTTAGGTAGGGCTGCTCGATTATGGCAAAAATGATAATCACGATTATTTTCACTGAAATTGAGATCTTGATTATTTGACGATATTTATTTAACACTTTAAGACCTACTATAGAACCAAGTCCGCCAGAGCTTATATTATTTTTTTACATGTTGTAGTGCCATTTGTGGGAGCATTTCAAGTTGCTATACAACTGTTATAGCCCATATTTTAATAATATGTATGCATTAAGTCCATAGTAACTACATTAATTGCAAAAAAGTGCAATAAACTACAAAAAAATAGAAAATCGTTTTTGGTTTTTTTACATATATTTCTACTTGGAGAAATTTAAGAGGCTTATCCCTCAAAACTTTAAATACAAAAAAGTTGCAAAAAATAGTTTACACCAACAAGAAATTTATTTTGAGTGTCTTCATAGTTTTATTTTGGAGATACACCAATTTTTATATACTGCAGGAAAAACGAAAAAACAATCCTATGATGCAAATTTGCAAAGAAAACAGCATGTGCATCAAAACAAACTATTTCCAGCAGTGCAATTCGAGTTCTAAGCATCCCAGAAAATATTCAGAAAAGTCAAACATGACCAGTATAGGCTTTTAAGGCCTACAAGTAAAAAAACTACAATTTCCGCGAAAATGACGTCACTTCCGGTTTCGGCCAGGAAATGGCGAACATGCAATAGTTCGTGCTGATGTCTGTTTCAATGTGGGAAGTGTTACGAACAACTGGTCGGATCAAGAGGATCAGCAAAGCCTGTTTCTGGAATATTATGTTTTTGTTCCTGCAAGCGCTTTTTATGCAATTTTTGCAAAGCTTTATGTGGAAGGAAACCGTGACCGAGGACAAGCTGATGGCATGAGATGTAAGTACAACTCCTCCGGTTTCATATGCAAAACAAATTATTGCGCTAGCTTACGCGGTTCAGGTTCTACAGGGATTTAAAAATAGTTACACAAAACGGAGCGTGCTGCTCTGACCGGCTTTAAAGGGTTAACAGTAACAATGTATTGAATAATGACTTTGAAAAATAATATAAAATAGTGTGCAACACCACTGAAGTTTTTTTTTTTACCTCTCTTTTCAACCAACGGCAGTCACTCTCCTCTCCAAATAACTTCTGCTTCCCTCGGGTCCTCTTAATCAGCGGTCTCCAACCTTTTTTGCGCCACGGACCGTTTATGCCCGACAATATTTTCACGGACCGGTGTTGTGCCAAAAAGTGATTTCTGGTATTTGCCAAAAAGCGATTGCTCATATTTAAAGTGCTATAAGTAACTTGTTGGGCTATAATATGTTAAACATATGTCAAATGCATCCCTTATGGATGACATAAAGACATAAAAATAAAGTTCTATCTTATCTTATCTTAATCGGCTCAGTCATTTTTAATGATCGTTGAAAGTCCAGATCGTAATCGTGATTAAAATTCGATTCATTGAGCAGCCCTACCTTTAGGTCAACATATCCTCCAGTGTCAAAGGTCTTTGGATCCACGTTGGACAATACTTTACTGCACACAGTAGTGTTTCACTTTCAGTCTGCTTCCACCCACACTTCTACAGCTTTTCCTTTTGCTTTAGGAAGAAGGGTAAATAAAAGATTAAATGACAGAAAACTTCCTGTTTTTCATATCTGCTATGGAATTTTTTTTACAGTCCATCCATGGCAAGAATTATTTTCTGCGAATTAACAAATTCTTCATTTTTATAAATACAACACACTTTGAGCAATGAGCTCCCGGGACATTTTCTGCAATTACACATTTACGACGGAAAAAACCTGTTTAGTTAAATGTTTTTACACTGACAGAAAGAGGAGTTTCACTGGTGTGGCCCACTTAATATCACAGTGGGCAGTATGTGGCCCACCATGAAAAATGAGTTTGACATCCCTGAACTAGACTCTGTGAAACAGTTTAAATCACAACTCTAAACCCACCTGTAGCAATCATTTCTGTGGGCTCTCACAACGCTTGACCTGAGCGTTCATCACAGTTAAACTTTGACTGAATGGTATGCATGTGGCTAGTTCTGCTTTTATAGTCGAACGGAGTTTAAAGAAAGTCAAGATTTTAGATTTTAGTGAGTTTAAATTTGGCAGAAAAACGCTGTTACTGCTTTACAAAAGACACAAACAAAGAGGAGCTATGAATAACTGTGGGCTTCACTGTGTATCAAATGTAAATTGTGCAGTTATGTCTTGTAGTGTGTGGGTGGGACGACTCTTCAGGTGACATCTAGAAAAACATGAAAGGTCCAGGTGAATGCCAGATAAACAAAGTGTAATATTTTCCACAAGTGGAAGTACCCATCACAGCTTCCCTGGAAAAATACAAAATTTGAAAATCTAAAGATGTTCTTAAATACATGGGATTTTTGGTGGGCGCTTACTTAGAGCCATAAAATCCAGTGAAGATTTTCCGACATCTCACGCTCTCCTAACAGAAATGTGTCGCAGCATATTCCACCAGCAGAGGGGAGCAGTGGGCTTGCACGTGAGGGGCCAGCTTCAGAGAGCTACCTTCAGCGGCTGCTCACGTACGCTGATAGTGTCACTAACTGGATCTCTGCTGAAATAGTCATCTGCGACTCTGTCAAGGTGAGAGGACCCATAACTCGGTGGGAGTTTATTCCCCGGTGAGAATAAAAGGGAGTCATCGCTGTCACAGCGCGGGCTTTGATTTCTCGCGTGAACTCTGGTGTCAGTCACAGGCTGAAAGTAGCTTCTTTATTTAACTGTTTAATAAGTCTCACAAAAAGCTGAGCAAACCAATGAGAATACATCTTGAGAACACACTAGATGTTCAGCTGTTTTAGGACTTATCCGTGCACTTTGGAGCATTTTTCACACCGTTATGACAAATACTCTGACTATTTAAAGAGCACTTAAACTATCTTTGCACTTCCTCACCTCAGATTTACCTCATTCTTTCAGTTATTTGTGTTGCTTATGATTTCTATGACAAGGACAACAGCTGTCATTGCTTCCCAAAAAAGCAGCTCCTGGACAAATGTGGATTCACTTCTACTGATTTAAGCTGTCCTCATAAAGGAGCTTCAAGTGCAGCTCTCAGATGAACACTTTCCACACACGTTAAATAATTTTCACATTGATATCTTTTTCAAGAAAGCAGATGAGTAATAGATAAAACATAGTGTCCACAAAGCACTTTGACATGTAACATTTTTCATATATTGCCAGTGTACGTGTGTATTAATGCAGCCTGAGAGAGCTGCGTGATTTTAGCATTTTGCTTTGTCTGCCTTCTTTTGTTTTGTTCATTTTTGTTTCTCTTGCAATCTCTCCTCCCCTGCAGAAACAAGTTGCTCTGCTGACCAAGTATCTGTGGATAGGAAAGCACTGCTACGAATCGAGGAACTTTGCCACGGCCATGCAGGTCCTCGGAGGTCTGGAGAACGTGATTGTCAGGCAATTACCGGTAAGGCTCCGTGGCAATGCTTCCCTCCTCACACAAGTTTGTGCAATAACTTGCTGCCCCTCAAGCTAAATGTTTCCCTCTACTGCGAGAGGGTTTGGATGGCGTTTAATTAGTTTCACAAATAAAAAAATTCAAATTAATCTATTCAAATAAGATGTAGGAAGAACAAACACAGCGAGGAAGAATGTGCCCCCCACCCCCCCACTCTGAAAAGCAGTGATTAAAAAAAACAACAAAAAAAAACAGAGTTGGGGAAAATAGGAGAAATTTCCATATATCCATCTGCAGGGAGGTGACGTTCACTGAGTGTTGCTATATGGAAGCTGCTGTTTTGGTAATGATTAATAAAACTACTGTTGCCTTTGCCAACAGGCGTGGAAACATCTGTCGTCCAAGGTGTGTGAGATCCTGGAGGAGCTACGAGCTGTGCAGGTGTGTGCGTGTGTGTGTGTTTGAGCATGAGCACACACGGATGGTGTTTGTAACTGAAGGCTAGGATGGCCACATATTGTGAAACTGGGCTGCAGGGCAAACAAATCAATAGAAAAACAGCTTCGAGCTACTTTCCCGGGTGTCGTGTGCTTACAGCTGGTTCTCCTGCTCCAAGTTGCTCAAAAAAAACCTGACACATTACGCAAAATGAAACACTTGCCGACTTCTCTATTTTAGCTGTAATAGTTTGTAGGATAAATTGCGTGGTCTATTGACTATGAAATGTCCAAAGGGTTGACTTTTTTTTCTTTTTAATCTTCCGAGGCTCTCGCTATCACCTCTGCACTGGACTCCATCAAGTATCTTTGACCTGATTTTCTCTGCCAGTAAGAGCGTATTTATTCACTGTGTGGACGTATTGCTTCCTAATCAGGTTTTTCTGAAGAGTGATGATCTGTGTCTTATGGGAGGTGAACATACAACAAAGAAGCCCACGCTGCCCTCAGCCCACATCCTGGCTATGCACGTGCAGCAGCTAGAGATCGGAGCTTTCACTCTCACCACCGGGGCTTACAAATGGACCAAACTGAGGTACGCTGTGTCTGATGTATGGTATAGTATTTATGGTACTATCTTGCTAGCCTGCTCACCTTTGGATTTTTATCGTAAATAATAAAAACAGTGTCGGATGTGAGGCATGACCACTGAATGCCCCCCTCCCCCCCACACGCACTCTACTTCTGTAGGTAGCCTGAGCTTCTTATATAATATTACGCAACAGTATATTTCTAACTAACAAGGCAGCACATTCAGGTTCTCTTGACAGGTACTTTCTTTAAAGATAGATCATGTTTTGGGGTCAACTTGAAAGAAGTCAAATGTAAAGTGTCAGATGTGACATATTTGCGATATTAATATCCCCATATGTCAGTGTAATCTCCTAAATTTTGCAATGCAAACAAAGGCAGAAAAATTTTAAGTGCAATTTAAAGATAAAAGACACGTTATTAAAGTTTGACCTTATTTAACCTTGAAGAAAACCTCTGAGGTCTGAAGTCATGTGATATGTAGAATCCCAACATACATAATTCCCTACTTGTCTACATGTTGTGTTACAAACAATGGCAGTAAAACAGATAGTTTTAAAAAGCTCTGCATAGCATTTCTATCACTTTGACTTTCTCAGTCTACTGACCTTGAAGGAGAGGTCAGAGGTCAAACACAATATCTTAAGTCTTCATGCAATACTTTCTATATGATGACAATACACACCGCAGTGGTAAAAGTCACAGTAGTTCTAAGTTATATGACTTTCTGTCCATCTTCGACCAATAGGGTTAGGGTAAATCACTAAGCTGACCTTGAAGATCTTGGTGACCTCACTTTACACCACTACAAGGTTTTATCAGAAGTCATTCAAAACTTGTTGAGCTGTTGTGTTTAGAGACAGAATGAAACACACGCTCACAGAAGCTGCCAAATAACATGAGCACCTTGGCGAAGGTAAAAATTAAAATAGTGGTGAGGTAACACTTGGCAAAACACATTAAGTGAAAGTATGCTTTTGTTACTACTGATGATAAAACGTTCCTTCCGTCTCATTTCATAGATGCTAATATGGAGTAATATAACAGCAAGCATGGCTAATTATGTGTACACACATTAGAAAAACACACATGCCAACACATTCTGAGCAGTCATCATGAGGACTGCTAACTAATGACTGCCAGTAACGAACGGCAAGTTGTGCCGGTCGAATATTTGTTGAAACGTGGAATCAAAGTGATGACAAGCAGCCAAAGTCCTACATGTGCATAATCCTCCTTATCAAGATCCCCACAAAAATATCACTGGGAATCATAAAGTGCGTGAAAAACACCTCTGCCATTATACTACATGCTGGAATTTGCACTAATGTCAGAGTTAAAGGAGTGATGCTGTTCAAACATGCATACAGCCAGTAAAGTTAGCTTGCTACCTGTCCCTGGAGTAACCTAAAGTATGAATAGTTAGTGCCATTAACTTAAAATGAGCTCAGGCCTCATATTCTGTGAATCCATCTACAACAAACTCAGCCAGCAGGAAGCATTTTCCTGTGTCCTTCTCCTTCGTTCCAATATGGCTGACCAGATGCTGAGGTCACAACACGTGGCGGCTGGATGGTAATGGCACAGCTGTTGAATTCGAGGTGTCGGTTAGGGTAGCGCTAGCACCAGATGGCGCCTGTGGGATGGCGTTTGATTGGAAGAAAAGGTTTCGGGCCAGATGCTGAGAGGTGACGCAGTGTAGCCAGATGCTGGGGTCACGAGCATGTCTAGCAGAGACAGCTGGTTACTGTGGACCCTGGGCTATCCCTGCTCTCTAAACCAGGTCGCAGGCAAAGCTAAGAATGCTGCTTACAAGAAAAAAACACCACCTAGGTATTCTTATAATGGTGTCACTGTTACTTTGTTGTGTCTCCCCATTTCATGCTGTGCTCAACCTCATCGTTCCGTCACTGGTTGTAGGAGCATAGCAAAGGTTGTGAGTCAGGTCCATGCCTTCCAAGAGGCCGTGTACCCTTACAGCCCAGACCGGGACCTGCAGGGCTACCTTCGCCGCCGTATCGCCCGGTTCACCACCTCGGACATCCACCTCTTGGCCGCCAACAGCGATGCCAACTTCCAGCAGTCGAGCGAGCGCCAGACACGGAGGATCCAGGACACACTGAGGAGGGTTAAGGCCACCTTCCAGTGAGACATGCTTTCACAGCCCGGCGTTAGAGGTCAACACCTGGATATGTACGAGCCCAAAGTGAGGCGCCATGCCCAGACCACAGTGCGCAGACACTCCCTGGTCCTGAACTGGAAAATATTTTCTGATATCAATTGACTGTTTGTCAAAAACACCTTAACTTTAGTCAGTAATATAGAATCTGAGGTGAACTTAGCTCACAGCTCTGTGTATGAACAGGTTCTGCTGTTGTTCCCACATGCTTGATTTTCATGTTAGCATTTTTTTTCCTATAAACCAACAGGAGTAGTGGGTAATTTTTTCTTCCTCAGCTAATACTGACATTCTTCTTCTGTAATTTAGCTGTTTAAACCTGTATGTAAGCATATCTGGACTAAACATGGCAGCTGTACAATGCTTGTCCAACACCAAGATCGGAATTAAAAAAGTGAGTTACTGTGCGAGGGCCTAAAACACAAAAAGCCAAAGGTTCTTTATATAGCAGTGTAGTAATATGATCAATTATAAGATATTTAGAATATGCACCATTAAGCAAAATATCAGCTGATATGTGAGGAGCCTTAAGGGGAACTTCCAAAATGACCTTTTTTGGCACCTTTTGGAAGCATTGAAGCATTTGTAAAGGTTTTATTTCTGCAAATATTTTTATTTTATACAGAAACATTAGAAATCCTCTCACTAGTTTCCTCATACCAGTAGTTTGCTTTTCACTTAAATCTCCCGACAACTAACTAACTGACTGTTACAGCTTCACCGATTCTTAACTCTTAATTTAGCGCCGTCGTGAGGTCAGGTTTGTTTCATTAATACTTCAGCTCTGGATGTCACACTTATTAAGTCCCGGGGCACATACGGTATAATTTGATCTTCAATGAGTACAATTTTCACGTCATAACCTTTATTAAAAAAAAAAGCTTTTCCACACTAAGTAAAGCTGTCATCATCCTTTAATTACAATTTACAGATAACAGCAGATCTATGAAGTCGAAAAAAGCTTTTGTAACTTGTGGTTCTTTTATGATTCAAATAATTTTTCTAGATATAAAATTGCTTTTTCATTTTCTGATACATTTTTACTACAGTGGAGTTATGCTAGCACTGCATGAACACACCAGGGATACTAGTGCATTTTAATAAAAGCAGAAAGAAGAAGTCATTAATGAATTCACAGCAATTTCTATACTTTGGACTGCAGTGGAGCCTCTGGCAGCAAGTTCTGGTTGCATGCTTGACATTTCTGCTTTGAGTTTAGAGCAGACTAAGAAAACTTTGTGTTTACATGTAACTCAAATTTAACAAGACATTAAACTTTGAGCGTAAAATGTGGCTTGCAAACTTTAACACTAGCAGCAGTGTCATTGTGAGCATGTTGGACTGCTGACGTTAGCATTTAGCACAAAGCACCGATGTGTTGTGGTTGTTATAAGAACTGGACGCTGGATTCAAAGACAGTTCCTCCTCAGCAGCAATTAACATGCCTGTCAGCCCATAAGAGAAAAAGACACTATTTTCAGGTAAATGATGTCGTCGTGTCACTTCTTTGGGATTTTTATTTTAACCAGAACTGCTCTGGCTACAGTGTTAATCAAACTGCTTGGACTTGGTCATAAATTCTCTTCATTATGATTTTTATTGATCTCAGCTCGATGATTAAACCACAAAGACGGTCTCCGCAGTTTCAATCTTTTAATAGGTACAGTAAGAAAATGCTGCTGTAGTTGAGCACTCAGTGATGCCAACGACATCAAAAAGTTTCAGAATCTCTGGAAAGCAGTGAGCACTGAGCGGGAACCTTTTCCTGTTTCGATTGACACGACATTTAATTTAGACGCTTTTAATATCATTGGAAATGCAGTTCCTCAAAATGTTCTCGGTTCCTTGGAACTTGGGAGATCCAAGTTCTGTTCTGAAGGGAATTCATATGGTTTTCTACACAAACGTGACTGAAATAACTGTGAAAACACAATGAAAGAGAGAACTGTGATTCTGCACAAATAGCAGTCACAATGTAAAGTGAATGCGAGATTATTGAGGACTCCATTATTTCAGCTGATATTGTGCGTACACGGTGCATATACCAAAATGATTAAAGGCCCGCGTTTCATTATATCACCACACAGCAAAACCTGCAGAGCATGAGTAATTGCATCAGAGGAAAGTAGTGGAGGTAAATAGGTTGCAAACTTTGAATCCAGCCATGTCAGTAATTCAAGTGAAATAAAGCACGATTATTTCTTTTCTTTTTTTCTTTTTCTTTTTTCCTTTTTAAAGTTCAACACAGAGGTGGTACGAGATTAAGTGGCACAGTTTGGCTCCAGTTGTCCCCGCAGAGGGAAGGCTCGCTTCAGATCCAAAAATGTGTTTCTGATTGATCACCTTATTTTTTTGTATGAAAAATCCTTTCTATCTATTATGAGATTTCTCTTATCCAGTATTGCAGCGGGCCCATCCACTGCTCCTTCACAGTCAGCAGATCTCAACCTAATTGAGGGGACATTGCAGTCTGATGCATTCTCCAAAACACCAAAAGAGGGGATGGTCTTTGGGGGAATGGTTTTCCATCCCTCCAGTAGCTTTCCAGACACCTGAAAAATCAATGCCAAGGAGCACTGAAGATATTCCTGTGACACATGGTGGGTGAACACCTTTCTAAAACACTTGATGTTGTTTTTCCTCTCGCTGGTCACAAGCCTATAGCTTCTATTTGTTTACCAATTAGGATTTGAAATAAGAATTACATGACTAGATTGATAAATTAAAATATAATAATCCCATTTAAACAGCGCCATGTGTAGTAATTGCATTCATTAAGAATAGCGTGTGGTGAAATGCAGAAAGACACGCTCACAGTCGTGACAAAAACTTGCCATTACCGAGCAAATGATGGAACATAATGAGATGTCGGCATGCAAAATGTTACTCGAGGAATGATGTTCAGCCTGTGTCTGCTGTCTGTTCTCGCACTCGGTGAAACCCAGCGTGGAGATGGAATGTGACGTGCTATGACGATTTGCTTAATATGGCCAAATAAATGAGATTTTATAAACCTTCTCTTGCCAGAGCTCATTATTGTCAGACAACATCCGTGATAGATTGGCCGTATGGCAGGTTAGAGTGCTGTTGTATCAGGCAGAGAATGTGAGCTGTTGCTTGGGTTTCCCTCTTCCTGCAGTTTACAGGATTAAAATGTCATTTATAGTGTGGGGAGTTATATTATGATGGCTACACTAAGTTTTAAGATGAAGTAAACCTTCTGACCACAATCTGCTTTTACATTTGTATATTACTCACCAAGCAAGCGTGCCTATCTGCACTGCACATACTGTAAATCATACTGATAACAGCCGTCATTTCAGCCATTTTTTGATCTTAGTAAAAGCTAATATGTGAGATGAATGTGCAGAAATCAGACGACTGTAGAAGTAAAGCTCAGTTTTCCCTCCAACTAGGTGTTTCATATAAATATGAAATGACTGTACACAGCACTGAAATAACTCCTAAAAAACGAAATGTTTCATGTTTTGTGCTCCATTAATTTTGGCAGAAAGTCATTCACTGGCAAATCAGTTTTTAGTATGCTATCCTGCAAACCGGAGGGTACTGAAATTCCATTTAATCCTTTTTTTTTAGGCACAAATATTCAGATATTTATGAGCATCCTTTGTGATGAACTGTGTCCTACAGCTGTTGTCTCTGACATCTCGTATGGACGTCTGGGGATATCGGAAACATGTCATCCGTTCAAAGCAAATCTAATATAAGCTCAGTGGGATTTTAAGCATGCAAGAGACTGTGGTGGAGTGTAAGACTGCTGAGGCATAATTTAGGGGTGCTCAGACTTCATACATCTGCTTTACATTTAACTGAAAAAAATTCTCACTTTTTACTCTATTTAGGATTTTCCAGTAAAATAAAATACCAGTAATAGGATATATGGTTCAGTAATACACTGCAGCCCACCTATTGCCCACTGGGTAATTGGGCAATAGATCTTTCACAGTGTGTCATGGATAGTTAAACAGTTATCCACCAGTGATCCAGGGTCTGATGACTAAAGGCTTCATTTAAACCAGAAGGTCCTAAATGCCTTTATTTCCTGTGTGAGTTTTTTTAAACAAAGATTGATGCTCCAGCTGCTCAAGAATAAACTAAACCAGCTGAGTGACTTTATCCAAGCTAGTGACCCACTAAGAAAAAAAATGAATACAGTCAGTGCGGCTGTTGCTCTGGGACACACAGAGGCAGAGCTCTCAGGGAGACAGAGCTGAGGAAACAGGCTCAGCGTGCAGGCGAGGTCCCGGGCCTTTTTCATTGTTATCTGACGCGATCGGGGCGCATCTTCAAAGCTGAGGAGATAAAGAGACCGCAAAGACTGAATGGACTCCTGCCTTCACAACGACAGATTGCCGATAAAGGAGACAACTAGGACCAGCCTCTTATCTGCTTTGTTATATAACTAAACGATCAGTTAAGCGGCATTGTCACCGAGCTGCTGCCTGTGGAGATATCTCAGCAGAGAGCCAGTCCCACAGGTTTGGCGCTTTCTCTGGGAAAGCTGTCTGTCTGGTTATTTGGCACCTAGCTGACATGAGGCAGGACTGTCATTCTTCAACTACTAGATAGTAGACTACACCAGCGAGTAAAAGCTTATCCTACTGGAAAGCGTTTGGATAGTAAACACCCTTTAGAAGTACTTATTTTTATATTTAATATCTATGTGTGGGGATCAGTTGAATTCTTTTCTCTGGGCCTGTTCGCCCTCTCCACAGCTTCCTCGCAGCTTGTTTTGGCATATTTGCATGTGAACGAGGCGACAATCGGCCTTAATTGTGTTGCTACTGTAATGCCTTTGATCTGTAATGTTTGAAGTGCCTTTGCCAAGCGCTGGTTCTTGGGTAACTGGCGCCAGCGCTGGCCGGGGTATCAAACACATGTCAATATGAAACCACTGGAGACCATTGTGTTCTCCATCTGATTGCAGTGGGAGCTTGAGGGTTACAGGCACAAATGTGACGAGAGCGTTAGAAATGGCTTCCCAAATTTAGGTGCTGCCCACACCATCTTGTTTGTTAAATGTTGCTTTCTGCCTGGTTACTATCAGACGTCTCTTAGGGAATTATTGTTTACGCTTCCATCTTGTTAGCAAACTGGATAAGCAGGGAGCTCAGAGGCCCAGCCTGTGATTTCAAATGGAACTGTCATGAGAAATTGAGCAAATACACCTTTCCTCCTTAACAAAGCACCATAACTGTTTATGTTTTGCGCATAAAATTGTCAGAAACAGCTACTAAGTATAACTGAAAATGTACACAATTTGTTTTAACAGTGTTTCCATTTTTATTACTTTATGTCGTTTATATTCATGTTTTCATTTTCTTCAGAAACTACTTAACTGAAAGTAATAAAGACCCACTTACACAAATATCAGTATCGAAATATACTTTAGTGCAGAATAATTATAATGTGCGTAATATAATTATCACTAAAGTGTGGGAAGCGGTTTGGGTTAACTGTCATAATTTAAAGAGAATTGGGCAACTTCAGATTCCATGTGCTGTAAAAGTAATAAAAAGGGTTCAAAATGTAACAATGTTTAATCACCTAAAGTGAAAGTTGCTAAAGCTCATACACTGTGAATCCTGACTTAATGAATCTAATGGTATTATCTAAAAGGAAAACTGAGCTGTAGCTTAGTCTACTGTCTGCACGCGCAGCAACCTGATTTAGCGCCAAAATGCCTGTTAGAAACAACATGGGTCCTTTAATGTTTGTTTTTTTCAGCTGAAATATTAACAAAATATCATCCATGTAAGCAACTATATTTATACAAGTAGCAAATGCTGAAATATCATTTTGAGTGAGGCTCCTAATTTCACTTTGAGTTCAGAGACATGCAAGGACTCAAAGGTTTCCACAGACTAGACGGCGCCAGGTCTTGACACACTCACAGGATATGTAAAGTCATTATCCCACAATCATTGGAATCGATCAGGCATTAACAAGGGTCCCTACATATGCAAATACGATTAGGGGCTGACCCCCAATAAAAGCCGACCGTGGCCAGCACAGGCCCTCTCAAACTTGGCGGATTTACATGTCACAGCTCCACTGTGAACATGGTGAAATACTTTTCTGTTGACTGGCTAGCCCAGAACCATCACAATAACATTCAGGGGCACTGTGCTGACATGGACACGACCCTTACCTGCAAACCTCACATTCCCTGCATGGTGCAGCCAAGCCCACCGCCCATTGGCAAAGGTTACCTGCAGATAAAGTCCAAAGCAGTTAAACGCTTCGAACACTCGGGGCCAGCGGAGAGCTGCGGGGCCGAGGACTCAACACTGTGCTCGCCACTGGATTCATCAAGCTGCACCCCACCGAGTAAGTACCCAACATCTCCAGGCTTTAAACAGCATAGTCGAGCTTTACGCAGAAGATGAGTTTGTAACGCTTTTCCTTCTTTTAGTTTGTGACGTCAGCGAGTACCTCTGCGGGTATGAGAGCGACCGAGTTTCCCCGGATAGACTCTCCGTGGACGAGGGGAACGAGGGGAGAAAAGACGCGGGACCCCAACGCCGAGTTCGCACAAAGTTTTCGTCCGAGCAGATCAAAAAACTGGAACGGATATTCATCAAACAGAAATATTTGGATTCCGGGGAGAGAGAGAAGACGGCACAAAAGCTGAACCTCACAGAAACTCAGGTGAGACGCGCCAGTAAACTCTTTGACATTTTGGATTTATGAAGACGCAGACATCTCCAATTTGCTCAGTGCTGCGGATGCTGACTGAACTGTCTTTGTTTTTTGTTGTGTCAGGTGAGGACCTGGTTTCAGAACCGAAGGATGAAGCTGAAACGGGAATTCCAAGACTATCTCACTCCCCCAGTCCCGCCGGTCATTTTTCAGCCTCTGTCTCCGGTTCAGTACCACAGCATGGCTGGACATCTACCCCATTACTCTCCTACGGGTCATCCCTTTTACTCATTACCTGTCCCGCAGTTGCTCCACCATCAGCACATGCCTCCTCACTACCCTCATCGAACAATGATACACCACCCACATTTCTACTGAGGAACTGTCACTTTAGAGACTTCTCTTTACACAAATGAGCCGAAGATGCGCAATCAAAGTTGTTTTTTTTATTTGTGTGATTTTAAATATCTGTATACAATGAAAAGTTTTTGTATGTAATTAAAGAAACATCTATTTATTTTTAATAAATTTATCCCTTAAGCTTCAGCAGTTGACTTCTTTGTTTTTTCTATCTCTGTCCAGATTATAAGGATTAAGCTGATGATACATCTTTATTGCAGTATTAGTTCCACATAAATAGCTCATCCTGTCTTTCATCATAAAGGAGGGCGGGTCTGGAAGGACTCAATGACAAAAGGGGGCTAAAGGTCACATCGCATCACTGTATCTCCTCTGATTTGACCATATACACAAATAACAATAGATTAAATCAGGATTCCACAACGTGTCCTGGAAACCCTAAATGACGTCACTTTCTTCTTGTTTTTGTTGCTACAAAGGTCAAATTTATAACAAAAGACCCCCCCCCCCATTCATACTGACTTTAACCCTCCTCTGTAATTAAAGACTGAACATGTTTGTCCCCACTACTGCACTTCAAATGCAAGGTAACGGGGAGATCATGGTTAACAATTAGTCCTAATTAGGCCTCTCATTGAAGAGTTTACACTTACCACTGGGGCTCCGACCTGGCTCCAGAGAGTCTGGAGCTTTGTATGGCCAAGGGATCTAGAGGTTAAAACCTGATTGTGTGATGACATCTGGAGATAGTGAGCTCGATTCGAAACTAGTCTGAGATAATTCAATGAGGGGGTCGAGGGCTCCTCTTTAAACTCGTAAATTTACGACAGTTTTTTTTCGCTTTTTGACATTTCAATTCATAACCCATGTTGTGTAAGAACGAAGGAATTCACTGGTTGATATAAACGTGCTATAAATGCTCAAATGTTTTGAATTAAGCTCGGCAAAAATGCAAAACAACAACCTGCAGGTTCCCTGCTGTGTGAGGTTTCAAGCTGGCCCGAGGCAAACATCTCAGTCAGCAAAGATCAAAGAAACTTTCTCACTTTCTGTCGATGTTCTCTGACTACAGTCACACACACACTCACCCGGTCCCACCCTGACAAAGGCATCATCACCAGGTTGCTCAATGCGCATACAACATGCGCTAAAGAGCCACCTACACCCTTGATCACCTGAAAAAATATAACAATATATATGTGTGTGTGTGTGTGTGTGTGTGTGTGTGTGTGTGTGTGTGTGTGTGTGTGTGTGTGTGTGTGTGTGTGTTTTGATGGTTGATAAGTTGATGGTGGTGGTGGTGGGTAGTTGATGGAAACATTGCGTAACTGTATGTATTTTTCTTCTTGACCGAAGGCGGTTAAACAAGTCACACCTCCCACATTTATAGTTATTCTCATCGCATTTAGTGGCGGATACAGACATGATACTCTTTATGCAGACATCATTCAGTTTGAAATGCCAGGTAAATGAGAGTCAGACTCAGTGGCGCCAGGGAATCCCAGCACGACCTGAGAAAAAGTAGAATCCTGCCTCTATTAACCTCAATTACAACCGCCATCAAGTCCCCATTGTTCCTGTGAGATCGCTTTGCATATGCAAACAAAGAAGTGTGCCCCTCCTATATAGCGGCCAAGAGTCATCCATACAAACACATACTGCTTCAACCGCTGCTTCTATCCACTATGGCTAACTTTTCTGTTGAGTGCCTTGCCAGGAGTTATTATGAAGAGGTGACTCCACGGACAAAGGATGCCGCGCTTCATTCGCGAGATCTCAGTGAAATCGTGGAATTTACAAAGGAATCAAGAAGTCGATACTCTGCAACATCGCCAAACAGTAAGTTCACAGATAAACCTTTTGTTTTAAGAGCTGCTGTTGATAGGGCCTTTGTGTGCGTATTGATTTTTGACTAAATGAATTCAACTTCTCATCTTTCTCCCCCCAGACAGATGCGACAACTCTTCTGGGTCCGAGAGTGAAGTGGGAGATGACAGCGAGGGGGAGGCCACCCAGCAGAGGAGACTCAGGACCAAGTTCACATCCGAACAAGTTAGCAAACTGGAGCATACTTTCAGCAAGCAGAAATACCTGGGTGCTACGCAGCGGAGGAAAATCGCCGAGGAGCTGAATCTTTCTGAAACCCAAGTATGTTACATGCATGCTTTCCTCAAGGCCTCCTCGGTGGCACTGCAAAGCTTTCCACAAGCACAAGCTGACAAAGACTTTTATTACTATGTTGCCATCTAGTTACCCGATGTAATTCAGTAAATGTAAATCTGTTTCAAAGACTATATAAACATCATAAAAAGTCCCTTTGCTTTGTGTTTGTGCGTAAAGGATAGGACCTTATGGCCTTTTTTGCATCTCACAGGTGAAAACGTGGTTCCAGAACAGGAGGATGAAACTAAAAAGGGAGGTCCAGGACAGAAGGACGGAGTTCCTGACAGTGCAGACCTCTCTTCTGCCTCCGATGCTGTTTCAGCACCCATTCCTCACCGGACAGCTCCCCGCCAGCTGCGGCTTCTACCCGCAACTGCACCCGCTCCCCGCACCTCTGCACCATCACCCCTCCCACCCCGTTCTTCTGCCGCCGCCAAACTACTTCTGAGCTCCCAGAACTTTTATCCCCCAAATTCCTGTCTAGAATCTAGATATTCCTCCCCTCATTGCTCTCTCTAAAAGAGAGATTTTAAAAGTTGTGAATATAATTGCTTTTATTATGTCTGAAGCACTGTACTGGGTATGTTTTGGTGTTGTAAGTATCATTCAAATAATGGAAATAAACTTGCTGCAACTTTTTATGGTTTATGGCAAAAAGAAAACAGAATTAAAGTCTTTAAACTGCTTGTGATGTTTTGTTTTTTTCTGTTTTCGACTTCAGATTCATAGATCGTCATTTTACATGCGCACACTTAAACAAGTAAAACACAAACCACGACCTTAAAAATTCACATAGATTTTGGGCACATTTATGTAACATTTTAGAAGAATGTAAAATCATGAATAAAAGTTTGTAAATGAGAAGAGAGGTTAAAGGTTTGGCTAAACCCTGATAGATATCCGGGGGAGGGGTGAGACAGTGTGTCGTGTAGAAGTTGTTGTTTTCAGTTTGGATGAAAAGCACACAATAACAAAATGGTTGAATGTCACACAATTCAACCATCCTGTGTGTTGCCATTTATTTCAACAGGAACAAAGTGTGCAGTTCAGTGCGCTTCTCCTCATCATACTGCAGTGTTTCTATCAGTGCCCCTCTCTCACTCCCCTTCTCTCCTGGTTTCCCAGCCTTGACAAGCAGCTGGACAGTTTTCTAACATCCTCGTTGATACAGAACATGTAGCGACAATGACAGGCCCGTCTGTCTTCTCCGTCTTGTAAATGCAACGACGTGGAGTTGTTGTCCCCTGCTTTTGCCGCTGGCATTGCTCCACGCTGAGCCTGTCCTCCGCTGGTTGTAGATTTTACTTGTTCAAAGGGATATCAGAGCGGATCTAACCGCGAGATCATTGAGCTTCATTGAGATCTATTGTATGACCATTCAGCTGTTCGCACTTACTTGAAAGACAGAGGGAAGGCGCCACTGAGTCTGCCAAAGGTGTATATTGGCTCACCTTAAAGTCATTAGTTGGCTCCAGCTAAATACAGTTAGGTCCATAAGTATTTGGACAGGGGCAGTTTTTTGCAGTTTGGCCTCTGTACGTCACCACAGTGGATTTGAAATCAGGCAACCAAAATGTGATTGAAGGGCAGACTTTGAGCTTTAAGGCAGAACTGTTCAAGAAAGACGTAGTTTTTTTGTCCACAGGACCCCATTTCTAGAGGTTCAGAACTCATGGGACCAACTAGCATTATTTTAAATATGTGACGATGTGTTTCATACATGGATGAAGATGCTTTGGAGTCTGTAACTGCCTGAAATCTGTCCATGGAACTCACTGAATGCTGTTTTTTCTTCCTTCATATGCTCGGCAATAGGCCTTTGCTGCAGTTGTTTCTGTGGCTTCAGTTTTGTCTTCAGTAACTAAAAAGCATGATCTGTTAGACTGAGATCAGGTGGCTGACTTAATTGTTGGAGAATATCAAATATTTATTTGCATTAAGAAACTCGTGAGTTGCTTTTGCAGTAATCTTTGGGTTTTTATCCATTTACTGCTGTCTGATTCGTTTAGCAGTATTTGCTTGTATCTGAGCAGAGACTATAGCCATTCAGAATAAACACCAGTGGCAGCCCTATGTCATAACAATGTGTTCACCATGTTGAACAGATGGTGTGCTTCCAATCATGAGCCACGTTTTCTTCTCTATACTTTGCTAATAATGGGAAGTTAATCTCTCCTGATCTGAACTCTTTGAGATGTTTTCTGGTAAACTCTAATCTATAATCTATCATCTGAACTCTAGAATCTACTCCTCATATTTAAAAGAAACTCCTGGTGATCAGACTCGTGATGTATGTGGATTATTGGTTGGCTCTACATTCAGCAGCACACAGGATTTTTTTAGTTATTTGGCAGGGCCTAAAGCCAGCGCACACAAACAATCACCAAAGAAAATAAATGCTGTCATTCCGCACCAGGAGGCACAATTATGAAAAAAGAGATGATTAGACCTGCAAGCATCAGTAACTAGAATAATGAGAAGGACACATTCATTTAAAGGTTTACTGGGCCGCTATTTATGCTGTGCCTCTGTTCAGTCCTCCAGACAGAGGAACCCCTCGGTCTGCAGCATTAGCAGGGATAGTTCCTAGTTGAGACATCGACATCAATCAATGATCCATTGTGAGAGGGCAAAGATGTGGTGAATTAAATGACAATGAGTGTTTCCCTGATACCTTTTGAAAAAGGTGAGTAAATAGGTGAAGAGGTGTCAACAGTGGCTGCAGATAGACTGATAGGAGTCCTATTAATGCATTTATCCAAGAACTACAGCTAATTTTGCCCGCTTCCCTAAACCTACACAAGAAACAGCTACTTTTACACTAAAAGAACAACTTTTTACTAATGAAATGTGCTTGACACAAGATTTAAAAATGGGAGATCAGTAGTTATCAACCTTTCTGGTTTGTAACCCCTTTGAAAAATACCAAGGGTTCATAATTATTAGTTTTTAAGTAAAGCTTTAAAAAAGGTCAAAATGTTTCATTTAATTTTCTTTAAGTTTGAGGCCAAGGAGGTGAAGCCTATCATTATTACAGTGCTTCACAGCTTAACACATTCCAAAATAAAAGCAAAAACGTTTGATGCACATAGTTAAAAAAAAAAACTCTTATATGCTTAATTATGTCATGACCCAGATTTTGACTCTCATGAATGGCACCAGCCCCTAGAAATCATATTTTTTGCCTTTTAAAGTTCACTACATTTACAGTGAAGTGTCCGTGTGATGCTGTGGGTGGCATTTAGATGGCATGGTCTGGCTCTATCAGCCCCAGCACTTTACAGGGCAGCACTACAGCGAATCGATTCAGTGCCACTATGCTATGAGCAAACATTCCTCTCTGATGGACGAGCTTGCTTCCATCCACTGAGTAAGAAGGGCCGTTCAGCAGTTTGATTAGCATGAATTGGTTGTGGCTTTCACATTCTACAAATCTCCACTGCGGCGAGCGCCTATAGGATATTTTTGATTGACACATTAGACAGTTCTCTCCACTGCCAGCATCAATACATGCAATGACAGAAAATATTTTGGAATAATCAATGCCTTGGAGCACTAAAACTATGCTGTTACCACTTGGTCAAATGACACTTTCAGCCCTTTTTGGCTTGTGACCTCTTACAAAAAAGTAATAAAAAGCACTATAGTTATAGCTATAGTAAAGAGCAACCCTCCTCCATCAAAATCTTTCAGGTTATTTTATTAAAATATCCACTTTCTCATGTCTCTGAGGAAATCCCCGTATGAGTGTCTTCTCTTTCTCCCTGCTCATTTGATCTATCTCAGACTTGGCAGGTATATTGTTAAAGACCGGACTGTTAATTATTTTACGGCCCCTTTGATTTTTATGACCCTTTTAGTGGGCCTGTGAACCACTGCACAACACCACCTAATTGTATTTATAGTCAAAACAAGTTCCACCTCAACCAGAGAAATGCTATTTTGCTTTTTTTTGCTACCTTTTAATTTTTTGAAGAGTGAAAATGTAACTTTAAAAAAGCAAAAATGATGGAAAGATTTATAAAAAGCACAAAAAGGTCCTCTTTTATCGCATGAAATCAGCAATACTGAGATTTTATGAGCTCATGTCATTTGTGCCACAAAAAACATGACTAGTTATTATTATGTAAAAGTCTGTACTGTATGATTTAAGTGTCCAATACCACAAAAACGTACAGTGCATGCAAATACTTCAAATCCAATGATTAATGGCCCAACTTTCTTTATTCAGCAAATATTCAGGGCAAACACACATGAACAATAATGTCACAGAAATGCAATAAAACACATATGATTAAGATCAAATTTGCACTTTAATAAATAAATCAATAATAATCAGAGGGGCATAAAAATACCTGCATCCAGTGTATCACAGTCTGTGCTTTGCAGATTTTCTTTGTAAGCCCAAGACAGGCTGGAATTCCAATGTATGTGTGTGTGTGTGAGAGTGAGTGTGCGAATGCACACTTTGAGGTCAGCTGTCATGCCGAGAAGATGATGAAATGGCTGTCTGCCTGGTGGAATACCTCTGCAGCCCCATTTTCCCATGCCTTATGCCTCTTTAAAGTTAAATCTCAAAGAAGTATGTGCATAGGAAAAAGGAACAGCGAGTGCAACAAGCCCCACTGCCCCGATTATGGACACTGGAACCTGGAGGGCAGGGATGACAAAAGGCATAAAGATGCATGACTGGATGCACAACACAAGAAATGACTCTTATATTCTTCTCCTGTCTGACTGGCTAAAATTGCATTACGTCCAGGTATTAAAAATACTGTAATATCAAAATAAAATGCACATACAACGGTCATACGCTTTATAGTTGCCAAGATGTAGTTTTAATTAAAGGATTAAGTTTATAAAATGCGTGGAAGGCGTGAAGAGGACTTACCCCGTATAGATCTCCATGCATGTCTCCCAGGAAAGCACCTCCTGTTGGCCATTTATCCCCCCACAGGGACCTTGAAGATGTTTAACAAAGACAGAGTAGCTGTTGTGCGTGCTCACTCAGCACTTCTCCTCCCTCTTTGGTTTCAAGCCATGGCGACACATCTGGGAAGATGCCTGTAGACACAGAAAAAAAAACAAACAAACAAATTCTACAGTACAGTGGCATACAAAGGTTGGTTTCTTCTGCAAAAATACTTTGTCTTGTTTTGCTCCAAATCTTTCAGCTACGAGTGAACTTGTTACAGTTATTATCTCCTATCTGACACAAGCTGGACGCCAGAAGCAGCTCACGGAAGAAGGGAAATATTCAGGACGCCCTGTTCCTGATGGTGGAAAAGTTTCTTATCTGTTCAGGGTTTTTTTTTTTTCGTTCTCTTTCCCTCTCCCAGAAGAGAGGCCCCCGTGTTTTTTAGAACTCAAGGTCTCTAGACAAGGACTCTCAGGGTGTGCTGAAGTGAGACGCTGACGCACACACACACACACACACATGCACAGGTTGTGTGGTGTGTAGCTGAGGGAGTATTATGGCATGTCAAGGCCAGTGCACCGGGCTGAAGATGAAACTGCTCTCTTTTCTCTGAACCACTGTGTTTGCAGCGCTTGTGGGCAGCAGTCGTATATCACACGTTTTGGTAAAGAAAGATCTATCTTTAAATGAGCACCCTGGACCAGCTGAGGTCACCTCACATCCCAACGTAGCTGAAAAAAAAATGTCTGGCAAAAATGCCGCTAATGAGCACTGAAAGTTACTTAGAAGCATCTCAGTGTTGAGTCTCAGCCTTGTTGTGTGTGTATGACGTTTTTAATAGAGCATAAATGTGCGTTGACCCAACTCAGTGTTTGAGGAAGCTGATATGCCGCATAGCGACAGGAGTCATTTATCTTGCAGCATTAAATCCACTCTTTTTCTTTCATGGCTCTGAATCACGTCTTCAAATCATCAGCTATGTTCTGATGTGGAGAGGATTCTTTTTTCTCTTTCTCTCTCTCTCTCTTTATATTTTATGTATTTAAGTTGTATAAATTTGATGTCATGAGAAGTTAATGAGTCCACAGTGCCATGCACATCAAAGGTCTGGACATTTGATTGAGACCAACCAATTACTTTGCTTCTTGTTTTCTTGGTAGCAGCTGAGGAATCTATATTCATCAAAATGGATATAGATAAATCATTAAGAAATACATTAGTACCAACAATAAATCAATGGCTTTTTCTGATGAAAGGGTTTGCATGGCGGGGCATTTGGTTAGCACCGTTGCGTCACAGCTCCTTGAGTGAAGCGAAGCTTTCAATGGGTTGGCTCTTCAGTCTAGAGATATAGCAGTTAGATTCTAAACTCACCATAAGTTTGGGTGTGAGTTTGAATGATTATCTGTATCTCTGTGTTGACTCTGTGATTGGCTGATGACCCTTTTCAGGCTGTACCCTGCCCCAGCACAGATAGGCCTAGTAGGATAAGCAGTTAAGAAAAACAGATTAATGATATTTGGTGTTTTATCAACTAGTGGTCACAAAAAACAAAAACAACAAAAACATTTTGATCATCTTTACTATTATGTTCTAATGTGTTTTTGCCACAAGAAAACAGACTGACGACCCATCCAGGGTGTACCCCACCGCTAACCCTATAGTGGCTGGGACAGGCTGAACCCCACCCATGACCCTGATAAGGATAAGTGGAAGTAACACACATTTCTGGCACAACTTCACCGACTTCCAAGGTGCATGGAGAAGATAAGGATCTAACTACACAGAGACTCCAGCAACACTTAAAAGTAATGAGAAAAAACTTTGTTAAGTGACCTTTTTCACTTTTTTTGTCACTTAATAAAGTTGCTTCTCATTATTTTTCAGGATAAGTGGAAGAGAATGAAAGGATGGATGGATGTTTTAGCCACATCCAAGTTCTGAAACTGTTTCTAACTGGTCAGACACATTAATCCTCCACACCACCACTTGGTGGCAGCAGTCTCAAACGTTGACTGGCAGCAGCCTGAGGTCACTGTAAGTATATAATGTAATAGTGTCTATTTGTTTTAAAGCAAATAACTTATAGGTAAGGGTTACAGTATATACAGTGCAAGGAGTCATACTGCACTGAGGTGAACTGAGAGGTTCTGGTAGCTCAGCATTTTTGTCTGTTTTTTTTGGGGTGAGATAACCACAACAGCATTCAGTCGAGGTCGGACGGGCTGTGGAGTATTAGTGCTCTGATTGTCAAATATGCAGTTATCAGTTTCTCTTATCAATATGTGCCTTACTTGCAGTGATTTAAGGTACAGGATCCTCCACTTAAAAGGCTTTTCAAACAAGGCAAACAAGTGTACTCTATACTCCAGCAGTTCCCTCTACATCAACATGTCAAACTCATTCCCACCATGTCTCACAAGGGCCTGCATGCTTTTAATTGGGTGTACTTTAACATGCGGCTTTTAAAATCCACTCTTGTTTTCTTCGTCTTCTTTTTTTCCCCTTTCTTGCAGAGTGTTCTGTTTGAGAAGAGCGAATTTGCAGAGTTAAGCAGAAATGTCTCACTCTGCAGAAAAAAGGCAACAAAAGCTGCTTGTTCATCTAAACACATCTGCCGCGGAGCAGGAGCGGGTTCTCTCAGAAGGCGAAACGAGGTTTTACATTTTGACACTTCGACAGGGTGAGAGTATGATGTTTCCAGAATCACAACAACAAACACCTGTAGTTGTCTTTAAGCTTAAATTGGCAATTTGGGAAATCCATGTTCATTAGGAGAAAACAGAGGTTAGGTGCACTCTGTAAACACAGTGCTTGTCTCAAAAATACTACCTACTGTGCAGTTTTTATGTCTTTGTAGGAAAAAATGCAAATTACCTCTAGATGTACACTACTGTAAGCATGTGCATCATAAAATAAACTATCATCATGCTTTAGTCAGGTGTCTCTAGTCAGATGGGACAGTTGTCTTTAAGCAAGATTCAAGTGATTACTTTATAACAGGATCTGTGACTAAGGGCCCAATTCCCCTGCCATTATATTGAATTTCATTGTATTTTATTTGAAATTACAATGTAATTTTACATTCTGTAAGTAATTTTCAGTACTGCATATGTAATTGTAATTCCCACTTAATTTCATGCTAATTTTGTGGAAAAACAAGAAATACAGTGGGGCAAAAAAAGTATTTAGTCAGCCACCGATTGTGCAAGTTCCCCCACTTAAAATGATGACAGAGGTCAGTAATTTGCACCAGAGGTACACTTCAACTGTGAG